AATATGAGAACTTTACAAAATATGCACAGGTTTTAACACTCGAATTGATCAAGCAGAAAAAAGGATATCAGAGGTCAAAGACCAACTTAATGAAATGAAACGAGAAGACGAGATTAGAGAAGAAAAAGTAAAAAGGAATGAGCAAAGTCTCCAAGAAATATGGGACTATGTGAAAAGACCTAATTTACGTTTGATAGATGTACCTGAATGTCATGAAGAGAATGAATCCAAGCTGGAAAATATTCTTTGGGAAATTATTCAGGAAAACTTTCCTAACCTAGTAAGGCAGGACAATACTCAACTCCAGGTAATACAGAGACCACCACAAAGATATTCCTCAAGTAGAGCAACCCCAAGACACATAATCGTTAGATTCACCAGGGTTGAAATAAAGGAGAAAATTCTAAGGGCAGCTAGAGAGAAAGGTCAGGACCCATAAAGGGAAGCCTATCAGACTCACAGCAGATCCCTCAGCAGAAACCCTACAAACCAGAAGGGGGGGGGGGGTCAATATTCAATATCCTCAAAGAAAATAATTTTCAACCCAGAATCTCATATCCAGCCAAACTAAGCTTTATAAATGAAGGAAAAGTAAAATTTTTCACAAACAAGCAAGCACTCAGAGATTTCATCACCACCAGGCCTGCTTTACAAGAGCTTCTGAAGGAAGCACTATACACAGAAAGGAACAACCAGTATCAGTCATCCCAAAAACTTACCAAAAGGTAAAGAGTATCTCCATAATGAATAATCTATATCAACTAATGAGCAAAATAGCCAGCTAGCATTAAATTACAGTATTAAACTCACAAATATCAATATTAATCCTAAATTTAAATGGATTAAAGGCCCCAATCAAAGACACAGACACGCAAACTGAATAAAAAGTCAAAACCCATCGGCACGCTGTATCCAGATCCAACTCATAAGCAAGGACACACAAAGACTCAAAACAAAAGGTTGGAGAAAGACTCACCAATCAAATGGAGAGAAGAAAAAAAAAAAAACAGGAGTTGTAACTTTCGTCTCTGACAAAATAGACTTCAATAGTAACAAAGACTAAAAGAAACAAAGAAGGACATTACATAATGATAAAAGGATCAATGCAACAACAGGAGTCAATGATCATAAATATATATATGCAACCAATAGAGGAGCACCCAGATATATAAGACAAGTTTTCAATGACTTATAAAGAGACTTGGACTACCGCACAATAACAGTGGGAGACTTTGACACCACATTGTTAATATTTGACGGATCAACGAGATAGAAAATTAACAGGGACATTTATGATTTGAACTCAGACCTGGAACAAGTAAACTCAGTGAATATTTATGGAATTCTTCACCCCAGGTCCACAGAACATACATTTTTTTTTTTAGTATCACATTACACCTATTTTGAAAGTGACCACATAAATGGAAGCAAATCACTCTTCAGCATTTGCATAGCATTTCACAGATTTAAATAAAATATTGGTTGGCTGTTTGTTTGTTATTTTCTTTCCTTATTCCTTCTTGTCTCTGCTGTTAAGCACAATTATCGGCATAAAAGAGGTCTTTAATACCTACTTTTAGATTGCATTCCAGCCTGGGCAATAGAGCGAGACTCCTCTCCCCCTTTTCTCTTTCTCTTTCTTTCTTTCATTAAAAAAAAGATTTTTTTACAGTATATCTACTGGAAAAAAAAAACCTATGTGTAACTAAACCTACACAGTTCAAACCCATGTTGTTCAACAGTCAACTGTACATGTCAGATCATGTCAGACCTCTTTCCAAAATCCTGCAACATTTCATTTCACTTAAGGTTAAAGTCAAAGTCTGTATGATGACCTCAACAGACTCATTACCTCTCTGATCTTAGCTACAACTATTCTCCTCCTCCCTTCAAGCATACCACTCATATTGGCCTTCTCACTATTCCACAAACACCAAAGTACCTGCTTGCCTTTACATTGGCTGTTCTTGCTACCTAGAAGCTCTTCCCTGAGCTGTCTCAAGGAAGACAGCCTTGTTCTTCTCACTTCCTCAAGGCTTTGTAAACTTCTAAGCTGCTTAATGAGACTTACTAGCCAACCTTATACAATTCTGACAATGCTCTCTTCCCTGCTCTCCACACAGCACCCAATTCACCTTATCTTGAACTATTTTTTTCTTTTCTATATTGCAGTTATACTACATGATTTGCTATTGTTTGCTTTCCTGTCTAAAACACAATATACATCCAACAGATATCCTTTAAAAACATAAACTCCATGACGGCAGGGATTACTGTTTTATTTAACGAGGTATCCCAAGTACCAAGAATAATGCATGCTGTATAATGAATGCACAATACATATTTACTGAATGAATTTCACTCTTTATAATAATGATCATGTGTGGTAGGTGTTATATGTTATCATCCCTATTTTACAGATGGAGAAGCTGTTAAGATGGGAGACAGACAGGACTAAGTTTTTACCAACATCATCACATTGTTACCAAGTTGCAGAGATGGAACTCAAACTGTATCTTTTAATTCCTCAAATAATACAATAGTAGTAAATAATTTAATGAATCATTTCAAAAAATAAACTCCAGAATATGTGACATTTATTTTAATATTGAGTACTACTATTTAATGCTTACTACATCTTTATATAAAAGGTCTTTTATTTAAAACAAGCTGTTCGGCCAGACATGGTGGCTCACACCTGTAGTCCCTGCACTTTGGGAGGCCAAGGCAGGTCAATCTCTTGAGGCCAGGAATTTGAAACCCATCTGGCCAACATGGTGAAACCTTATCTCTATTAAAAATATATAAATTAGCCAGGTGTGGTGGTGCATGCCAGCTACTTGGGAGGCTGAGTCATGAGAATCGCTTGAACACAGGAGGTGGAGGTAGAAGTGAGCAGAGATTCCGCCACTGCACTCCAGCTGGGGCAACAAAGCAAGACTCTGTCTAAATAAATAAATAAAGCTGTTTAATAACACTGGTTTTGCTTTTTATTTAAAAATATTTACTTTATTCCTAGTGTTTGGTAAGTTGACCCATACCTTGACAGAGCAGAAAAAACCACAAACTCTAAGAATGGCCTTAGGAATCCATGTTCAAGAGAAATCACTCTGAGTAAAGTCCCAAATACTAAAGTAATTTTAAAAAGGATTTGATAGAAACAAGGATAGGGAGTTCCTCTAGCCCTCCTACTACACAATAAGAAGTCCTTGAGGGATGCTAAGGTACCATAAGGTGCTATAGAACCAACTCTAAAAATCTATCTAACTGCCTCTTCCCCAATGACCCCTGTAACACCAAAACCATCTTGGGCATTTTACAGAACCAACAGAGTAGAAATGATTTGCCCAAGACTGCAAAATTAGAAAGTGGCTAAACTGAGGCCTTCGCTGTTTTTCATTATTTTGACTACAGTTGAATTTTTTTCAAAGTTCAGTTATCTTTCTAAACGTGCAAAACAGTTTATCTGCATAATATGGCATGCAAGGAGAAGAAAAAAAAAAAACAACCGAAGCTTGGAGTAGGGACACATCTGCCCCTGTAATTACTCCTACTGATGTTACTGCTCTTCAGAGGAGACAAACGAAGACAAGCTTTCTTATTTTGTCTGTAATATTGGTTCTATAGTAAGACGTAAGTAAATTCTGTCTAGGACTAATAGTGCAGCAAAGTAGAGCATCAAAGATACAACTGAAATTATATTTATTTCTAGATAACATTATTGATTAAAAACTGCCCTTAAAATAGGGCATAAATGTTTGTATGCAACTTTGCTAAAATCATGTTTTTACTCTGAAACAGAAACATAGACAATGCAATTAAATAAATGAACAAACTATTATTTTCTCCACTTGACATAACAGGAAACATTAAATAACTTGGTAAAGGTCACACAGTAAATGAGAGTGTCAAAATACTGTCTAAAGTTCTTTTTTTCTTATTTTTTAATATTGTCTAATGTTCTGATTCTAACCTAGTAGAATTTAAACTCTAGAAGGGCAGACATTGCCTCTCCTGGGTTCACTGCCAGCACCCTAGCACAGCATCATGCACATCACTGGGGTTAATGCTATTATCAGTAGACATGCTCCAAATAAATATTAGGAGAGTTAACTGCATTTGACAAAGAAGCCAAATAAATAATAAATGGATGGTAGCTCCATTTCCTATCACAAACAAGGCTAACTTGTAATGAGGAACTGCAGCAGACTCTATAAACTGTGTTTTCCTTTCAGAATAATGAAATCTTCGAAGAAAAACAGCCACCCATTTCTAACTGTTATATGGTAGAATTAATCAATCTACCATTATTTTTTTGTTAGCAGACTATAAGATAGTATTCTAGGATATCTAGTCAATAATATAACCAAGTTAATGATTAGTCTACCCCTCTATAGAAATGTTAATTATGATGACTATACTCATTGTCTAGGCTGAGATACTGTTAAAAATAAGGGGTGCTATTAATATTTATTCACAGGAATAATGGTAACAGTCTTAGGCAAACCAGAACCTATGAGTCACCTCACTTCAAAGTAAAAGCATTCTCCTTTTCTTCTTTCTTATGGCACTTGCAAGAGATCCCCTGCGTATCTTGGCCTACATTTCTTGTTTCTTGCCTAAACTTCCTGAGAAAGTGATGTTAGAAATAGAGACAAATTACTAAATAAATCCTATGTGCATGTGCCTCACCTGAGCATACACAGCAATTTTCAGATATAGCCCATATTAGGATTTTAAAAGCAGTTGATTATAAAAATGACTTGCAACAATAAAAGCTCAACCATGAGACACATCAATATCATAGACTTATCTGGTCAATTTTTAAGATGACTACTTCCAGTTTAACTTCCTTCCCATTACTTAAGAAGAACTGCAGCTGTCACCATCCCATAGTCCAGTTTTTCAATCACTGACTTTTATATTCCTTATCACAAATCTGAGGGACTCTATAGAAAAAGCTGAAGCCTCCTCCCACCAGCAATCAAAACCATACACACCTCTGTCAGCTGCTTCAGTTGGTCTTTGTTTGTACTCAATTCTTCTGCTAGGAAGTTCCTTTTCACTTGCAGTTCACAGATTTCCTTTTTTAATGGATTCACTAGTTCATAGAACCGAACCTTGAAAAAAAAATTAAATTAATAAGCAGTCTTAAATCCAAATTAATGAAAACTGGCTAATTTGTAGTGCTCTCATTTATCAATAATAAAGAGAAATATTTACAAAATTAAAACGAGACAGTCATTAATGAACCCTAGCCGCTAATACTTTATACCAAGCCTTAATGTTCAATTAACTTCCCTCAAGAGTCAGATGATTTACAACTTCCTACCTTTGACAGTCTTTCCTCCCTTCTACTGACACTCCATTACTGCTCATCTACTACTGCTCACTCCACACTATCTGCTTGTAAACTTCTGGAACATATCACAAATGTTCAGGAGTCTTGCTCTTGCTGTTTCCTCTGCTAGAGAAGTTCTTCCTCCATTTAAATGCATGTCTCCCTGTTCGTCTCTGACCAAATATCACCTTACTCGTAAAGCCCTCCCTGATTTCCCTACCTAATTTGAAGTAGCATTCTCTATTTTTCACCCCTGCTCTTTTCTCTACAGCACCTTTGACAAACAGATAGTCTACATTATTTAATTTTTAAGTTATTGGCTATGTTGCTCCACGTCAACATAAGCTCCATGAGGGCAGGGATTTTTGTCCAGTTTATACACTGCTCTCTCTCCAATGCCTGAATATATAATAAGTACTCAATAAATACTTGATGAAGAGGTAAAGTCTATTCTTTACTTTCATCCCAGGCTCTTAGCAAAGCTTTATTTACTGCTGCCCCTGTAGTGGAAGTCTAACTAGAATGAATCAAGAGGCATCTTTCATGTCACTACTTCCATTTAGTTTAGGTCTCTCTTTCCACTCATACTTCTCTCTGAGGAATTTTCCTGCCCTACCTCAGTAAAGTGTTCCATCTGACAAGGTCCTATAAAACTAAGACATCATCAGCAAATTAGCAATTAGGGGATATTTATTATATGGGCATGCAATCTGAAACTCCTTAATATATAACTGTATTACAAGAATACCATTATTTGGTAAGAGGCAAATCTTAATATTAGCCCTCAATAACATGAATCTGCATATAATTAATTAGTTAAGGATAATACTGTCTGTGGAAACAAAAGGTATAAGAAGGAATATTAACCAAACAGCAAAAATATGTGTAACTGCCACCAGTAGGATACTTTGTATCTACTGTAAATGACGCCTCAAAAACAACTTATTTGTTTTGGCCAATACACTTTGGGCAGAAAAACTATATTTGAGCCATTTTTTTTTAAAAAAAAACAGCTGATCAATAAGTAACTTCATTTTATCAGACATCACTAATCTGGAAATCTTTTCCCAATGAGAACCAAGAATAGCAACCACCACTCTAGCAAAAACAATAAGTAACATTTTTATGAGTTTACTATTTTCTAAGCACTATGCTCATAAGCATTTTATATATATAGTCATAGTTAATATTTACGATTAGCGCCAATTGAAAGGCACTATTATTATTATTAATTCTTTTTACAGATGAAAAATTCAAGCCTCTCAGGGTAAAATGACATCTATATATTAAAAATCAGCACTTCTCAACATATGGTTTTAGGATCTCAACTCTGACCTGCTCGCCACTCTGAGATCCTTTCAGGGAATACACAAGATCAAAATGACTTTCCTAGTAATTACTAAGATTTTTTTTTTCCCCGTTTCATTCTCATTCTCTCATGACTCTTCAGTGGAGTCTGCCAGTGGCTACATGATGTATAATGACAATATCACTCTTAAGGCCAATGGAATTGTGTGCTTACATATTCTTGTGTTTAAAAAATTTCTTAAAAATGCTAGTATAGTAAATTTGATAGATATAGCCCATATAAACAAACACTCATTGGGGTTCTCAATAATTTTTAGAGTGTAAATGAGTGCTGACACCAAAATATTTGAGACCACTGCCATAGATTAATCCTAGCTGTTCTAGATTTGTGTAACCAGAACTGCAATCAAGATCCTGAGCTCATCTATCACCACTCATCTATCACCATCTATCATCCTAACCCTTTATAATCACACCAACTCCTCTCTCCCACTATCCCTAGCCAACCCCTGGCAACAACTAATCTGTTGTTGATAATTTTTCATTTTGAAAATGTAAGAAACCACCAGTTTCTGATGATTCATTTATATGGACTACGCAGTTATTAACTTCAGAAACCTATGTATTGCTTGACTTTGGAGATCAATGGTCATGATCCTTTAAAATTTGGATCTCAACATCATTCACCATCCATGGCCATAAAATAATGTACCAATTTGGTACTTCAAAAGTAATGGCTACTACATAAATATTAAATTTTAGTCTAAAAAGATATGTAGTATTTAAAACGGGATATAAGATACTTACAGATACATATTCAGGAATAGAAAGCTGATCTTCAGGAAAAGCTTTTAATTTAGTATACTGCTCTTCTGTCAACTCAAAGTCACGCAGGTTTCGACGAACATCTCCAGCTTTTTCTCTTAGCTGAAGATTAGTCTCTTCTAGTTGTTTCTGTCTCAATAAAATGGTTTCCATTTCTTGTTTCATTAATTCTTGATATTTGCTACATTAGGAGAGAATTTATGGGCGGCCTTAAAAAAGTTTTCGAGATTTAATTTTCTCATAGTTTCCTATTTATAGCAACATAAAAGTTAGGAAATGAGAAGGCTGACAGTATTTCTGGATCCACGTAAAGGCTTATTTACTAACTCCAGCTAAACGCTTATTCACTCATATTAACCAGTTAAATATGAAATGACAATTCCATACTAATTATTAAATGTGTACACATCTAAACTATTAAACAGAGATTTGATCTTCTTAAAAAATAATTTTAGAAACTCAAATTATAAAATTATATATTTCTTTTACTTAAGGTTTACTGTTAAACATCAAGGACTCTACTTACTAGGTAATTTTCATTTCCCTTTTATCCTGACACTTCAGGGATATTTCTTTAAGATGGTAAGAATGAACCACCATAAAGTATTCACTCAAACAATGAGGTAATGAAAACAGTAATCTGCAAATACTCACCATTCTCAAAGCATACATGTAGCAGACATTATTCTTAGTTGCCTACTGAAAGATTCTGATCAAGAAACGACAATCTGATGTTATTAGTCTGTTCTCACGCTGCTAAAAAGACATACCCAAGACTAGATAATTTATAAAGGAAAGAGGTTTAATGGACTCACAGTTCCACAAGTAGGGGGAGGCCTCACAATCATGGCAGCAGGCAAAGGAGAAGCAAAGGCAGTCTTACATACTGGCAGACAAGATGGCTTGTGCAAAGGAACTCCCATTTATGAAACCACCAGACCTTGTGAGACTTATTCACTATCATGAGAACAACATGGGAAAGACCACCCCCATTATTCAAGTACCTCTAATCAGGTCCCTCCCAGGACATGTAGGAATTATGGAAACTACAATTCAGGATGAGATTTGGGTGGGGACACAGTCAAATCATATCATTGATTTTCTCCTTCACTACTATATCGATCCCATTAACAGACAAACCTGCTGTTATTTCAATCTTAAAACAAATGAACAAACAAAATCACAACTCCTGACCCCATTGCACTTCCCTCTTTGTTAGCTACCTCTTGGAGCAAACCTGCTCAAAAGTTGTTTATACTTACTGTCTCCAAATCCTTTCCTTTCCTCTTAAACCCAGGGCAATCATATTTTTACTGTCTCTAACGAAACTCAATGACATCTAAATTGCAAACAATCAATTCTTAGTTCTTTTCGTCCATGATCTAACGACAGCACTTGACATAACTTATTTATCTTTCCTTGATACATTTTCATCATCTGGCTTCCAAGATACCACACTGTTCATTTTTCTTCTATTTTACTATAGTTCCTTCTCAGTCTCCATTTCTGCTTTGTCTTAATGTTGGAGTGATTGGTCCCCTTCTCTGTCAGTACACACTCCTTGGGGAATTCATCTAGTCTCATGACTTGAATACTGTCTATAACCTAATGATCCCCAGATCTGTACCACTAGACCAGACTTTTCATATACCTCCACATGGATTTCTAACAAGAAAACTCGAACTTAACATGTCCCAAACTGAACTCCTGCTTTTTATCCACAAAACCTTTTCTACTATGATTTCCTCCTCCTTGGCTGACAGAAACTCAATTTTTTCAAGTTCAAGCCAAAACTGTTGGTGCAATCCCTGACTCCCCCTTTTCTCATAAGCCCCACACTGAATTCATCAGCTCTGCCTCCAAAATATATTCAGAATCCCACCATGTTTTTTTTTACCACCATCAGCTATCAAGAGTTTTAATACAATAGACTCCTAACTGCCCTCTTAGCAGCATCATTCAATCTGATATATGTCTTATACAATTAGATTAGAAGACCTATTATTGAATGCTTTGGTTCTCAAAGTATTGGTCCTGGACCAGCAGCATCTGTATTACCTGGGAACCTGGTAAAAATGCAAATTCTCAGGACCCACCTCAAATTAGAATCTCTGAGGGTGGAATACAGTAGTCTTTTTTAACAAGCTCTCCAGGTGTTTCTGATATATGCTGAAGTTTGAGATCCAGTAATCTAATGTGATAGTGGGTGACAAAAGGTCTGATAATTTTTTACAGTATCAGTTAAGTAGTAAAATCTTAAAAAGAGAAAATACACCTATTTTACACATTTACCTCTAATTAAAACATAGAAATAGAAATACATTTACATTTTTATATAGGAGTCAGATATTTTGAATACAGAGGTATATTTTTTGTGTGTGTAAATCATTATTTATATTTTCCAAGTTCAATTTCTTTACAATAGCATGAGATCCTAAAAGATTTTAACCAAGAAATCTATGAAGGTATCATTTATGGATCTGTTTTGATATTTGCTCTCAATCTTTAAATTTGTGTTGCTTATATTTAACTTCATAATTAAAAAATTCCTTTTATTGAAACTTTCCAAAGAATTTATGTCATTGTTTATATAATGTTTAATTAAGTTAAGTAAGTATAATTGCCATAGGCATATTTGGGAATAAAGAACAGACTCTTGATAAGCCCACAACTGAGCTTGAGAAAGTATGCAGGCATAATAGAAAGCACTTCAAGCCAGGAGAGTCCAATGGGCCATGAGAATCAATCAGTATGTTGAGTAATAGAAGAAAGGTTAACGGTGGTCACTTTAGAGAGCTTCCTTCATCATACGCTGTTTACACTGACCAGTATTTGTTGAATGAATGTTGAATTTTGACTTTTTGTATTTTATGTTCTGTATCAAGTATCCTATTTTTTTTGTAGTCTGGATGTAAAAATTGTTGCTATCTCTGACTTAAAATTTCTCTATTTTAGCTTACAATCACAAACATAAACAGGCAATAAAATTACTAAATACATGTACATATATATTTAACTTTTCTTACCTGGCATCTTTCTGTTGAAAAGTCAATTGGTTGTCTAATCTCAATGACAGCAGCTGCTTCTGGTGAAGTGCATCATTAAGTTTCTCCTCCAATTCTTCAATCTTAATAAAGAGAAAGAGATAAATTATATGTAAAATATTCAAACCTGTCATAAAGAAAAACTTTCAGTTTCCATAGTAAACATATTTTAAAAACACTTAAAAGAAACAGTCTAAAAATGGACAGAGGGACCAGTCACAGTGGCTCACGTTTGTAATTCCAGCACTTTGGGAAGCCAAGAAGTTCAGATCAGCCTGGGTAACAAAGTGAGACCTCATTCCCACAAAACAATTTTTAAAATTAGCTGCATGTGGTGGCGTGTGCCTACAGTCCCAAATACCCGGGACTGAGGTGGGAGGATCCCTTGAGCCCAGGAGATTTGTCAAAGATCAGATGGTTGCAGATGTGTGGGTCTACTTCCGAATCCTCTGTTCTGTTCCATTGGTCTATCTCTTTGTTTTGGAACCAGTACCATGCTGTTTTGATTACTGTAGCCTTGTAGTATAGTTTGTAGTCAGGTAGCGTGATGCCTCCAGCTTTGTTCTTTTTGCTTAGGACTGTCTTGGCTATGTGGGTTCTCTTTTGGTTCCATATGAAGTTTAAGGTGGTTTTTTCCAGTTTGGTGAAGAACGTCAACGGTAGCTTGACGGGGATAGCGTTGAATCTATAAAGTACTTTGGGCAGTATGGCCATTTTCACGATATTGATTCTTCCTAACCAGGAGCATGGAATGTTTTTCCATCTGTTTGTGTTCTCTCTTATTTCCTCAAGCAGTGGTTTGTAGCTCTCCTTGAAGAGGTTCTTCATATCCTTTGTTAGTTGTAATCCTAGGTATTTTATTCTCTTTGTGGCAATTGTGAATGGGAGTTCACTCGTGATTTAGCTCTTTGTCTGTTATTGGTGTATAGGAATGCTTGTGATTTCTGCACATTGATTTTGTATCCTGAGACTTTGCTGAACTTGTTTATTAGCTTAAGGAGATTTTGGGCTGAGACATGCGGTCTTCTAAATATACAATCAAGTCATCTGCAGACAATTTGACTTCCTCTTTTCCTAATTGAATATCTTTTATTTCTTTTTCTTGCCTGATTGCTCTGGCTAGAACTTCCAATACTACATTAAATAGGAATGGTGAGCGAGGGCATCCTTATCTAGTGCCAGCTTTCAAAGGGAATGCTTCCAGTTTTTGCCTGTTCAGTATGATATTGGCTATGGGTTTGTTGTAAACAACTTCAATTATTTTGAGATACGTTCTATCAATACCTAGTTTACTGAGAGTTTTTAGCATAAAGGGCTGTGTACACCTTGAATTGTAATTTGGATTTGTTACACTGGAGAGCCTGTCACGAATCAGCTAACATTTCCATAACATAAAGCTTTCACCTGGCCGGGCGCGGTGGCTTAAGCCTGTAATCCCAGCACTTTGGGAGGCCGAGGCGGGTGGATCACGAGGTCAACAGATCGAGACCATCCTGGTCAACATGGTGAAACCCCATCTCTACTAAAAACACAAAAAAATTATCTGGGCATGGTGGCGCGTGCCTGTAATCCCAGCTACTCAGGAGGCTGAGGTGGGAGAATTGCCTGGACCCAGGAGGTGGAGGTTGCGGTGAGCCGAGATCGCGCCATTGCCCTCCAGCTTGGGTAACAACAGCGAAACTCCGTCACAAAAAAAAAAGAAGAAAAAAAAAGCTTTCACCTAAAAAGAAGCAAAGCTGTTAACAAACAAGCACAATGCCAGTTGAAAACAAATAATAAAAGAGGTGTCTGAACAAAATGTAAGTGTGGATACGGTATACAGGTGGCACTGAATGGGAGATAATCTCAGGTTTTTTCAATGAGTTGCCCTAAAGATCTGGAGAGGTGAAGGTAGATGAGTTTATGTGAGAAGTAAATGCATAAAGAGTAAGGGAATAGGGATGGGAAACCACTGGATGCGTGGATAAACTACCAAGTGGCCTAGACTAGGTAGGTGACTATAGTGCACCTAAAAGAAAGTGTTTGGAGCTTCAGTTGTGTGGAGTGCAGGCTTTAGACTTCCTAGGTTTGAATCCTCTCTGGCTCCATCACTTTCATCTGAACGGCCTTGGGTTTGCTATTTTTTTTTTTTTTTTGAGACAGAGTTTTGCTCTTGTTACTCAGGCTGGAGTACAATGGCACAATCTCGGCTCACTGCGACCTCCGCCTCCTAGGTTCAGGCAATTCTCCCGCCTCAGCCTCCTGAGTAGCTGGGATAACAGGCACATGCCACCATGCCCAGCTAATTTTTTGTATTTTTAGTAGAGACGGGGTTTCACCATGTTGACCTGAATGGTCTCGATCTCTTCACCTTGTGATCCACCCGCCTCGGCCTCCCAAAGTGCTGGGATTACAGGCATGAGACACTGCGCCCGGCCCCGGGTATGCTATTGACCACCTAGTGGTTTTGTTTTATCAGAGCAAAATGGGGTTCAGTCATTCATTTAAGAAACAGCTGGGTACTTACTTTGTGTCAAGCACTGTTCTAAGTGCTGGAAATACAATTGTGAATGTTAAAACATCCCTGTCCTCACGGACCTCATAGTTTATTCACACACAAATAACAAATAAACTCAGTACAATGGCTATAAAACGCAAAGAAAATGGGCTGGGCATGGTGGCTCACATCTGTTATCCCAGCACTTTGGGAGGCCAAAGCAGGTGGATCATGAGGTCAAGAGATTGACACCATCCTGGCCAAACGGTGAAACCCCGTCTCTACTAAAAATACAAAAATTAGCTGGGCGTGGTGGTGCGTGCCTGTAGTCCCAGCTACTTGGGAGGCTGAGGCAGAGGTTGCAGTGAGCTGAGCTCACGCCACTGCACTCCAGCCTAGTGACAAAGCAAGACTCCATCTCAAAAAAAAAAAAAGGCACAGAAAATGAATGGGATGAATCAAATGAGGATACTATGTTAGGTGATAAGATAATATGTGCTTATTTTTTGTGTCCCCGGCCCCCAAAAATTATATACTGAAACTTAATCACCAATGTAAGCAGCAGGAAGTGGGGGGCCTTTGGGGATGATTAGGTTATAAGGGTAGAACCCTCATTGTTGGATTAGTGCCCTTATAAAAGTGATTCTGGAGAGCTAGTTCACCCTGGTGCCACGCACGTGAGGACACAGCAAGAAGTGTGCAACCTGGGAGACGGCCCCCACCAGAACCTTACCATACTAGCACCCTGATCTCTTAGATTGCCTTGTTTCCAATGCAAAATAAGTTTTTGTTGTTTATAAGCTACCCAGTCTATGGTATTTTGTTATAGCTGACCAAATGGACTAAGACACTAAGTAACAGGTACTATCTAACTTACTGTATGATTCACTTAATATAATGGGTCAAGGAAAACATCCTCCTCTGAAAGTACCTATATCTCAAAGGTTGCTGTGAGGCTTAAATGAGGTAACACCTGAAAGTTCTTAGAACAATGTCTGGCACAGCATAAGCACTCAATAAATGTCAGACATTCACTATACATTTTTAAAGTTCACCTGAACTGTTCTTTACCTGATAAAGATTGAGGTTTTCAATAACTTTCTTGAGAGGCAAGAATTTTGCGGGGACACAAAAAACAAGCACACGGTAAGTATTAGCTGTTGTTGTTACCTTATCTACTAACATAGTATCCTCATTTGTTTCACCTCATTCATTTTCTGTGCCTTTTTTTTTGAGATGGAGTCTTGCTTTGTTGATAGGCTGGAGTGCAGAAATTTTCCAGTGGCAGGATACTGAAGTATGTTGGCATACATAGACAAGAACTAAAATAGGAGACAGACTTATCAAGAGAGATAATATAAATGAAACAACAAAATGTTGAGGTAGAAAGAACTGGATCAAGAGGAAAGCTGATGGGTTTAACACAGAGAAGATAAGATGTTCTCAGTGACAGTACAGAAAGAACTCTTCTTTCTGAAATCGCTGTAAAGTTCTTATAGCTAGTGACAATATACAAGTCTTACATCAAATCCTGTAACTGTAGATAACCACGCATGGACAAAAAACAATGACTAGAACATCTTTTACTTGTATGGTAAACATCATTTGCTAAAGTCTATAGAACCTGAATTTATGCATCTTATTATGACAAAGTAACTACAAAACAGAAAGACCGACACAGTATCTAGCAAATAGAAAGGTACCAAAGAAAATCCCCAGAGAAGAGGTCTATATAGAATTAATAACATTATTTTGGCTGGTCGGGTATGGTGGCTCATGCCTGTAATCCCAGCACTTTGGGAGGCCAAGAGGGCCAGATCACCTAAAGCCAGGAGTTCAAGATCAGCCTGGCCAACATGGCAAAACCCCGTCTCTATTAAAAATACAAAAATTAGCCAGCCATGGCGGCAGGCGCTTTAATCCCAGCTAATAGGGATGCTGAGGCAGGAGAATTGCTTGAACTCAGGAGGAGGAGGTTGCAGTGAGCTGAGGTCATGCCACTGCACTACAACCTGGGTAACAGATGTAGACTCCATCTCAAAAAAAAAAATAAAGAAATTTTGATTCTCTCTATCAAACCAGTCATATCAGTTAGTGCTAAATGAAGCAGCAAACAACGTGGTGAGAAAATACACTTAAGAAAATATACCTCCATTTTGGGAGGCCAAGATGGGTGACTCACCTGAGGTCAGGAGTTTGAGACCAACCTCGCCAACATGGTGAAACCCATCTCTACTTAAAGAAAATACAAAACTTAGCCAGGCATGATGGCAGTGCCATCAGATGATCCAACTGACAGATAAAATTGTGTGTATTTGTCATGTACGACATAATGTTTTGAAGTCTATGTACATTGTGACACGGTTAACTCTAACTAATTAACAAATGTTTTACCTCACAGTTATTTTAGTAATGAGAACAATTAACATTCGCTGTGTTTTTAAAAAATACAATATTTTTCAAGATTACAATGCCATTAACTATAATCACCACGCTCTACAATAGATCTCTTGAATATATTCCTCCTATTCAACTGTAATTATGTAACCTTTGAACAAGATCACCCCAATTCTCCTTTACCCCTAACTATGCCACCCCTTGGTAGCAACCATTCTACTCTCTACTTCTATGAAGAGCAAAATTACTTCAAGGCTGTACTTGTCAAAAAATGTAAATGTATCATTTCAAGTTCAGATAATATGTGTGTGTGTGTGTGTGCGTGCGCCTGTGTATTTAATTCTTATTTACCTGCAGTTTGAAGACAATAAAGCATATAGAAAACAAAATTTAAACCTGATCTTACCTTTGTAAAATATTCTACTTTCAAATTGTCGATCATCATATTTTTCTGGGATAGCTCAATTTTTAGTAACTGAATATTATGAAGCAGTTCTTTTCGTTCAATTAGCTGCCTGGTGATTTTGACTTTACCCTCTCGCTCTTCTGATGAGGAAATATCATCCGTAGGAACTGTTGTTTCTAAACTAATATCTTCAGATTCCAGAGAACTAGAGATGTTCACTTTTTTTGACTCCTTTGAAATTTTTCGAGACATTTTTGTTATTATGGATCAGTTTTCTTCTCTAAATTGATTTTAATATTCTGTAGGTTAAAAGACAACATTAATTTAAATGTACTATAAAATTACAGAAATCATGGACTTTATTAAAGAGAGACTAAGGATTCCTTAAATAAATATTAGGCAATTTAGTGGACCGCAAATCTAGTATAGATTATTGAAGTAAATTACTGTTCCAATCAAACACGTTGACTAATTCCTACCATAAACTCAGCCCTCTGAGGAATTTTGAAAAAGTTACTAGGGGAGGTATCTTATTTGGAGGACACAAAGAAATGTACAAAATGAATAAAAAAGTCCAGTATAACCAAGCATGGCACTAATAAAAACAACACATGCTCAAAGATAACAGAAATCACTTTCGAGTTGGTCAGGGAAAGGTTACACAAAGGTAGCACTTAGAATCCTGAAAGATCTGGACAGGCATGGTAAAAAGGAGAAATCATGCAGGTATTAACGATATTTAAGTGGAAGTAAAACAACAAAGCCAAGTCTTTGAATAGCTAACTCCTTCCACCCCCTACACACACACACACACACACACACACACACTCTCTCTCTCTCTCTCTCTCTCTCTCTCTCTCTCTCTCTCTCTCTCTGTTAACGATGAAGAGGAGGGCCTTAAATGTCAAAATATGTTTGGATTTTACCCTACAGGCAATGAGGCATCACTGAAGATTTTTTAAAATAGGGAAACAGGGAGACAAAAACGTTTTTTATAGATAGCAGAATGAAAACAGGGTATAAGAAAAATTCAAGAAAGTCTAAACAGAACTTCTCACTCTTTCATAAGAACGTTAGCAACTACCTTGTTTTAATACCTAATGATATAACAAATTATGCAATTAAATATTTCAGTTTGTCAGTTTTTCTAAACTGAATAAGGAAAGGTGTGTGGAGGAGAAACAGCAAAAACTATACTAAGATCAGCCTCCCTCCTTTTTGAAGGGAAATGGGTAAAAGTGAATTCAAAGACAAATCCTCTCCTAGATTACAAAGGATCCGAAACGGGGACTGTCCATACACTGGGCGTGAAAAGTAAGCCCCAAACTTAGCAGCTTCGGGGATTCCTTGCCCCACGCGGGAAAGAAGGGGAGATAGCCGCAGGTTACCTCGAAAGCGTCAATTACTCCACACCGAAGGCCGACCAGCCGCCAATGCAGACACTTCGAGGGACCGAAGGCGTCGCCAGTCGGAAGCTCAAGGTTGCAGGGCCCCAACAAGGGATTTTAGGGTAGAGGACCGTTACAACCCGTAACCAAGACAACCATCCACGCACTGACAAGGAGGACTGAAGCAGCAGTGGCGCACACTTCCACAAGCCGCCGGAAGTCAGCTCTCCCGGATATTCCGCGGCGCGGAAAGCAATGCCCTATGGGAGATGAAGTACAGAGACGAGCCCCGCCCAGGCCACTGAAGGAAATGGCTACGGGCCCCGCCTTGCCGCCCCTCCTCACTGTCGCCCAATCCCCGCGGCCATCAGAGAGCCAACCAATGTTTTTCTCGGCGTTTTCCCGCGAGAAGTGTTACTAATGTCCAGGAGCGGGAAGCGGAGAACCTCAGGGTGAGGCGTCGTTGTATTTTAGTTTGACGCCTTTTGGCGGAAAAGCACTGCTGGGTTTGGGATTCTGCGCGGCGAGACAAGATGCTCAAGTCCAAGACGTTCTTAAAAAAGACCCGGGCGGGCGGCGTGATGAAGATCGTGCGCGAGCATTACCTGCGAGACGACATAGGCTGCGGTGCTGCCGGATGCACAGCGTGTTGCGGGGCGCACGAGGGGCCAGCCTTGGAGCCGCAGCCCCAGGACCCGGCAAGCAGCCTTTGCCCGCAGCCGCACTACTTGCTGCCTGACACTAACGTGTTACTCCACCAGGTGCGTGGACGGACGAACCGCGGACACTGCGGCCCCACCGGGACAAGGGAGTGAGACAGGGAAACTGAGGCCCAGGGAGGCGGGTCTTTGGCATTGTCCCATACCTAGGGAGAGGCAGACCCCCTGGGGATCCAAGCTTCTTGTTCCCCAGGCCGAGGTTCTATTACTTGTGCTTTAAAAAATTTAGTTCTTGGAGTCGTATTTTAGACACGTTATTTTTCTAACTCCTGGTGTCTCTTCTGCCTTAGATTGTAAGTGCCTGGAGGCCGGGGACCTGGGCTTCTGTGGCCTCCAGCCTGCGACTCCCAGGCAGCTTGTAAGTGCCTACGAACAAAAACGTTGTGGGCCAACGTATTTCTTTATTAATACCCTTAATTCTACGAAGTTTTGTGATTGGTCTGTTTAAGTGTGCTTTTTTTTTTTTTAATAGATCTGAAGGGTTTAATGACTTGTCTCCTTTTCTGCAGTCAAATAGCTCGTTGGCTTAACTTATTCAATTTTTTAAAACGTAAAGTATTGATGCCCAACATAAAACAGGATTTTATGTTTGACAGAAGCAATTTACAAATGAATATAGGAAAAATTGACTTTATTTATTAATTTTTTTTTAAGATTGATGTTCTTGAGGACCCTGCCATCAGGAATGTAATTGTGCTGCAAACAGTTCTTCAAGAAGTGAGAAATCGCAGTGCTCCCGTATATAAACGTATCCGAGATGTGGCTAATAACCAAGAGAAGCATTTCTATACTTTCACTAATGAGCACCATAGGTAGGAGAAGTATTATGTTAAATATCAGAAAACCACAGGATTAGCTAAACTGGGGAGAGGGTTCCTGGAAGTAAATTGTGACCTTGTCAGAAGTTAAGTGATAGATTTCATTATCTTATTTGATTCTTACATGCCTGTACAGAAGATAATGCTAAGTGGATCGCCCTAAGGTCACACAGGCATTGGTGGGCTCAAGCCTGGAACCAATGTCTGCTGACTCCTAGACTACAGTAGGTACTTTTATTTCTAAAATGTTTTCATTTTAAATTGGTTTTAGCATGCGTTGGACCGTAGAATCTTGGAAGATGAGATTTGCCTAGGTTCCTGGAATACCATATTATGTGAACAACTAACAGAGGGTAATAAAATGTATGAGTTTGTGAAGGGGAGGTTTAAAAATAGAAAGTAGATTTATTCTTCATGGTTTTTTCAAAAGTTTAATACTGTGTAACTGATTACATTGAGCAAGATTAGGTTAAGGAATAGAATTCTTTGTTATGTTTTCAGATTCAAGACCTTTGAACTTAATGTGTGGTCTCAGAGCATATGATATTGCCTATTATGTTGTAATACATAAATAATCTATGGTGGCTATTTATGGTACTTTTATTAGCTTAGATCGGGGTTTCTCAATCTTGTGATTATACATATTTTAGACTGAATAAATTTTTTTGTGGTGGGAAAGCTGTTTTATACATTGTGGGATGTTTAGCAGCATCCCTGGCCTCTACCTACTTCTCAGCAGCAGTCACCACCCCTTACCCACACCACCACCGTCACTGACTTGTAATGATGCAAAATCCCCTGGGGGTTGGGGTTGGGGGTGAATTCACTGAATTGAGAACCATTGGGTTAAGAGTGTAGAATCCTGGTAATGAAATGCCATCAGATTTTGCAAATTTTTAAATCCTTAATTTCTCGAATTTCTTGATTCTTATATCTCAAACTTCAATGTTCTTGTAAAGAACACCAGTAAAACCCTTGTAGACTTCTTATTCCTAGTACCTCCTTGAAATCTGGAAATAGAAATACACTTGTTTTTCAGTGCAGAAAGACCCAAGTTTAAAACCAATTCAAAAATTTATGACTGTGTCTTTCACTGATAAGCTTAAAGCACTAGCACCTGGGCATAGTGGCTCATGTCTGTAATCCTGGCACTTTGGGAGGTCGAGGCGGGCAGATCATTTGAGGCCAGGAGTTCCAGATCAGCCTAGCTAACATGGAAAAACCCTGTCTCATAAAAATACAAAAATTAGCCAGTTGTGGTGGTGCATGCCTCTAGTCCTAGCTACCTGGGAGGCTGGGTTGGGAGGATCACTGGAAGCTGGGAGGCAGAGGTTGCAGTGAGCTGAAATCATGCCACTGCACTTCAGCCTGAGCTACAGAGCAAGGCTATCTCAGTTTTTTTTTTTAAAAAAAAAAGCATTAGCAAGTACATGCGATGATGGGGAATAAAATAATTCTAAAACTATTAATTAAGTCAATTGAATCTGTTATTAAGTACTGCAAGCTATTGTGCTGAACTTTGCTATTGTACTTAAATCTGGCTTTGATGAACAGGTTTAGAGAAATAGATAAATGTGTTGACGTATTTGGGAGTTTAGATAGAAAAAAATATATAATCATATCTATTAATCTAGCTGACTTTTCAGTCTCTACATGGCTTCAGCTATTTATTGTTTACCATGGATAATTTATATGCATTATTTATTAATGATGGTAGAATTCTGATTATAAATCATCTAATATTACTATTGGTAGCTTTTAAGAATTGCTGCTAACCTATAGTTTGAATGAAATCTGATTATCAGACCTGTGAAATTTTATTATAATTTGTTTCAACAAACTAGCGTCTCAGCCTAAAGTATAAGTTCTGACTTGAATTTTTTTTTTAGGAAAAAAAATTGTATTGGCCTTTTTCATCTCCCATTAATAACATAATTTTCTACTTTTCCGAGCAAATTGTTTTCTGAGAAACTTAACTATAAGAATTCTGATTTCTTCCTTTCTCTGAGATGTACATTTGAATACATTCAAGAGAAAAGATAACCATTGACTTTGTCTAGTTTAGTGGTTGTTAAGGATTTATGTGCTAACAGTTTTCACATATCCTTGTTTCTATTGATTTCCTTTTATTTCGTTTGTTTCTTCTTTCCTTTACATTTAGAGAAACCTATGTAGAACAAGAACAGGGAGAAAATGCTAATGACAGGAATGATAGAGCTATTCGAGTAGCAGCAAAATGGTACAATGAACATTTGAAGAAAATGTCAGCAGACAACCAGCTGCAAGTTATCTTCATAACAAATGACAGGAAAAACAAAGAGAAAGCTGTAGAAGAAGGAATACCAGCTTTTACTTGTAAGTCTACATGTAGAAGTAGTTAGTGCATTTTTGCAGATGCATGTAAAAATAATCATCAGGCCTGTGGTCAGATGTTCACTTTACTATTTAGTATTTTCATAGCCCTAAATAACTTCATGTGATATTTTTGTATAAATTTCACATCGTTTTTAAGCTAAGTATGTTGTGGTGCCCAGTGACTATTAATTTTTGCCTATTTGGAACAGATTTAGCAGTGAAAGCTCATAAATATACTGGAACCCCTGCCTCTGCTTAGGGATGATCACATCAACAGATCTTTGAGTTTTGTTTTTTAAGTAAATTGAGGCCAGGCGCTGTAATCCCAACACTTTGGGAGGTCAGAGCAAGAGGCTTGCATGAGACCAGGAGTTTAAGACCAGCCTGGGAAACATAGCAAGACTGTGTCTCTACAGGAAAAAAAAAAAAAGCCATGCTTGGTAGTGTGTGACTATAGTCCCAGCTACTTGGGAGGCTAAGGTAGGAAGATAGCTTGAGCCCAGGGATTCTAGGTTGTAGTGATGTGTAATTGCACCACTGCACTCTAGCCTGAGAGACTGAGTGAGACTCTGTCTCTTAATGAATCAAAGAATGACATGTATACTGTCACAAACAAGACTATCCATTTTTTACATATCTAAGGAAAAGGCACTATCAAAAACAGCATAAACTTATTTTTTCAGGTGAAGAATATGTAAAGAGCCTAACTGCTAACCCTGAACTCATAGATCGTCTTGCTTGTTTATCTGAAGAAGGGGTATGTTTTTGTTTTATTTTGGTTTTGAAAAGTAAAAGTATTAAAATAACCACTTTGGGATATTAGGGATATAGTTGCCAAATTTAAAAATTGGAATGTCAGTAGGTAAGCTGGATTTGGAATAGTTGCTGTGCAATAAACAAGAGTGGATGTAACAGGCTTATTGAAATGCCATTCCTTAAAGAGTTAACTTTCTGAAATGGATGCATTCTTAGTAACCCGAGTAGGGCCTGGCACATGATAGCACTATTTGGTTGAGAAAAAAATGAATGGAATCCATGGCTGATTTGTGAATAAGGAGTAGCTATTTGACAAATAAAAATGTGGCAGGCACTGCAGACAGAGGAAAGAAGAGGGAGGGGAGTGTCCAGATACTAAGGACCTAGAATTTGTTCTGTAGGTATAAAGATCTCCCTGAAGGGCTGCTATGAAGAGAAGTTAGAGGAAAGGATTCCGAGAGCCCTTCCTTATATGTCAGGCTAAGAAACAGTAAGGGTATATGAATGTGGATTGGTGGAACAGGAGAAAATCATCAGAAATGGTATTTATTTGTAAGACCACTCTGATATCAGTGTGTAAGATTATGCATTTTATCCAGGAAGGATCAGAGGTGGAGAGGTGAGTAAAGGAGTCATTGCAATAGCTGATGTGAGAAGGACTGCTAAGGGAATAAATTCTGAACCTTCATTTTTTTATATATAAATATATAATGTTTAGCAGTAATGACTTCGTAGTATTGTTGCAAGGATCAAATAAAATGATAACTGTAGCATTAATACAATTTCCATCTCAGTGCCTGCCACATAGTTATATTAAATATAATTGGTAGCCCTTGTTATAGAAATAGGTTTTAAGTGATAGGACATTGTACATAAATCCAGTCTATACATTTCACTCATCCTTTCTTACCTTTAAGATACTTTATGAAACCAAAAGGAAATGAGAAGATAAAAGTTGGGTTTGATTTTTGAAATACAGATTTAGGATTGCCCTAATATGTAGCCACTTAGTTATATGTGGCTGTTTAAATTTAATACATATTAAAAATTCAGTCTTGGTGTTACTGTCTATCTTACAAGTGCCCAAGAGAAACTTGTGCGTAGTGGCTGCCACATTAGAGATCAAAAAATGAATACTTCCTTCATCATAGGAAGTTGTTTCTGTTAGCACTGGTCATAAGAAATACTGCTGTAGTTTCTTGTATTCAAAATTGTGTGTACTATAATGTAGATTTCAAAAATTATCTGATGTTAATACTAGTTGCGTATTGAGTGAACAGAAGACTTATTAGCTGCATCTGTTGGTCTGCTTATTTCATAGAATGAAATAGAAAGTGGAAAAATAATATTTTCAGAGCATCTTCCCTTAAGTAAGCTACAGCAAGGCATAAAATCTGGTACATACCTTCAAGGAACATTTAGAGCCAGCAGGGAAAATTACTTAGAAGCTACCGTGTGGATTCATGGTGACAGTGAAGAAAATAAAGAGGCAAGTATATACACAAATTCCATAAAGATGCTATTTTATGTATTATGACTAATTAATGGTAAATGCTATTTGCAAAGCATATGAGGCTTCACATACTTTAAAGCAAATAGTAACCCTTTTTTTTTCTTTTGCAGTGCTTGCTATTTGTCAGGTTTTTTAAATCTTTGTGCATGGTATTTCATTTAATATTCAATCCAACCTATAAGAAAAGTAGGCAGTGTACTCTTATTTGACCAGTCAGGACCTTGAGATTTAGAGAGTATAAATAATTTTCCCAAGGTCTCTTGGTACCATTGTAACTTATGGTGGAGCCATGAACACAACCTGTATTTTCTGATTCACGTTTTTTCTGCTTGATGTTAAGAAATTAAGGGTGTGGAATTAGGGACACTATAGAGAAAGAAAATCTATAAAGGAGAGATAGAGATTTCATAAAGACATTCAGAGTGTATGGAAATTTCTTTTCCACGATCTTCCCATTTTTATATTGCATTAAAATGTATTTGGGCACATGCCCTCTATTGTTTTAAACAGATAATCTTACAGGGACTTAAACATTTAAACAGAGCTATTCATGAAGATATTGTGGCTGTGGAGCTTCTCCCAAAGAGTCAGTGGGTAGCTCCATCTTCTGTGGTTTTACATGATGAAGGTCAAAATGAAGATGATGTGGAGAAAGAAGAAGAGAGAGAACAAATGGTATGAATCTAGACAGGTTTTTTGTTTTGTTTTGTCTGCATATCTTTGTATTATTAGTTAATGTGCCAGCTTTGGAAAAAAACAAGTTTCATTGCTTTCAGAATTATTGCATAAAATTATAGCTCTATACATTTAATATATATCATACATAGTTTTTTTCTCTTCTATGTAGTTTTCTTTTATTGTCTTAATTTGCTCAAATAAATGGGTTTAAATGCAAACAGACTGTTAATACGAGTAGGAAACTGAAAATCTATGACATTCAAGTATGTGGTTTGACTTAATGAGGTTTAAGTAAATACAAATTTAAAGTTTTCTGAAATGCTTTAATGTTTTAGGAACTGTGCTAGGAAATGCTTTAGAAAAGGCTTTAGGTAAAATTCCTTTAACATAATAGATGTATTTCTGGGCCATTGTATTTGTGCAACTCCTCTGTTAACATATATTTATTATGAAGAGAATAATTTCAGTTATTTCTTATGAGCTAAGTCTACTTGATATGACCTTTTTATTTCTATATTTTATAATTGCAATAATATAAGTAGTTGGAATACATATAACAGTTTTTGTATTCTTTTTCCATTATTTACATTCATTGCTCTGGAGTCTCACTATGAAATTATCCATGGAGAGTCCAGGCCTTTGGATAGTGTTAAGAGGTGAAATATCATAAGAACTTTTGTTATTTCTAATAGCACATACTCTTTACTTGGGATTTTATTTTGTATAAGGAAGAACCTTTAAAGATACATTACTTTTTAAATGAATTAATAAACAGAGGTCCAAAGGAAACTAGTCACCGTACCATCTAGCTAATTTATGCAAACCGGTACTGGAAACCTTGTCTAATTCCCAGACCTGTGTGTATTTTAGTTGGTAAATCCTCATGTTAAACCAGTACAGTGTTGAGTTCTGACATATGTATTCAGTCATATTTATTTATTTTTGCTTTGTGATTGTTTTGTAGTGTGTTATTACCACAATGTCAGTGGTTTGGTTTGGCATGTTCATGTCTAGAATTTTGAAACATCAACATTCTGTAGTCTTATGTCATAATTTACTGCCAGAGTGGATTAGTATCCATGTATGCATTTTGATTTTGAAAGGAAATGGCTTTACTAAGAGGAATATAACTGAACACATTTTTATTTTTATATCACAGCTTAAGACTGCTGTAAGTGAGAATATGTTAAAGCCTACAGGTAGAGTTGTAGGAATAATAAAAAGGAATTGGAGACCATATTGTGGCATGCTTTCCAAGTCTGACATTAAGGAAGTGAGTAAAGAGCATTACTATGTAATAAAGAATTGATAAACATGTAATAGAACTTATAGCCTTTCTTTTACCTCCATCCTCAGATTTGTTTGTATGTAAGATCTTTATTTCTAATTTTTGCTAGTCAAGAAGACATCTCTTTACACCTGCTGATAAGAGAATCCCTCGAATTCGCATAGAAACCAGACAGGCTTCTACATTAGAAGGACGGAGAATTATTGTTGCTATTGATGGTTGGCCCCGAAATTCCAGATACCCAAATGTAAGCTTAAAGTATTAATTTTATTTGGGGATGTTTAATTAAAATTTTGTGAATACTATTTCTGCTTTTAATAAAAATAGAATCTGCTTTTATTTGTACTGAAATTTAAGGCTATTTTACAAAGTGATTGGTAAGTAGCACGTCTACTTTGAAAATTAATTTTATGAAATTCCAGGGTAAATCATTTGGTTACTGTAATGTAAATTTCTTTTTTTTTTGAGAGTCTCACTCTGTTGCCCTGGCTGGAGTGCAGTGGTGCGATGTTGGTTCACTGCAACCTCTGCCTCCCAGGTTCAAGTGATTCTGGGTCTCCGCTTCCCAATTAGGTGGGACTACAGGTGTGTGCCACCTTGCCCAGCTAATTTTTAGTAGAGATGGAGTTTTCCCATGTTGGCCAGGCTGGTCTTGAATTCCTGGCCTCAAGTGATCCACCCACCTCAGCCTTCCAAAGTGCTGAGATTACAAGCATGAGCCACTGTGCCCGGTTTCTTTTATGTAAATTTTTAAACCAATAACTTTTATTGATCATGAGTATGACAAGTGAGTTGTAGACAGATTCTAATAAACAGATTTTGAAACTGTTATATTGGAAGCACATTTTAAACTTGAACTTTGATAAGAAATAGATGCTTTAGGATATAAGAACTGGACCCTCATGAAGTCTCCTTCATAAATCAGCTGAGAGGTCTTGTCTATACCAAAGGGTCATTTTTAAGAAGCCATTATGGGAATATTTAGGAATACTGAGATGATATGTAAATGCTGAAGGATTTAATACAATATATGTAAATTTGCTATAAAATAGGCCTTCCTAATAGTGCCTCTTGATTTCAGGGACACTTTGTGAAAAATTTAGGCGATGTTGGAGAGAAAGAGACTGAAACAGAAGTTTTGTTACTTGAACATGATGTTCCGCATCAGCCTTTTTCACAGGCTGTTCTTAGTTTTCTACCAAAGATGCCCTGGGGCATTACTGAAAAGGTAAGTTGAAAGTGATATGCAGTGATGTTATAAATTATTATTTCCTCCCAAGTTTTAATTTCTGTGTTTTTAAATATTATAGACACCATGGGCCCTCTTTTCCTGCATTTAGTTAGGTACTGCATTCTTAGGAATTAGTCATTTGCTTCTTCATTGAAAGATAAGTTTTTCTATGGAGCAGACACTTCCACATGTTAAATGTTTCAAAGGTAAGGAAACCACTAGTTATAAATCATATGTGGTGTCTCTCTGCTCCAGGGCAGGAAAAAGAAATGTGGTTGTCATCAAGAAAATACAGCTAAATTGTTTTTGTATATGTCTTACTGATTTCACAAGAGCTGTTAATATGTTTTAGTTGTGCTTTGGAAGTAATTTATTTGTTTGTAATCTTATGTCTTCTAGGACATGAAAAACCGAGAAGACCTGAGGCATCTGTGTATTTGTAGTGTGGACCCACCAGGATGTACTGACATAGATGATGCTCTGCATTGTAGAGAACTCGAAAATGGAAATTTGGAGGTATTCATATGTAATAATATTTTTACCTAAATATAGTCTGTTCTGAGTTCATTTTCTTTTGACCTAGAATAGATTTTTTACTAATTACTGTTGTGAAGTATAATTATAGCTGCAGACTAACGACCATGTGTCAGAAGTTGAAATGGTAGAGGTGACTGAGTCTTTTTAAAATTTAGCTAAATTTTATCTTATTAAAACTCCATTGGTACATTTGCCCAATCAAGCACATTGACATCCTTTTATTTTTATCTTTCTTAGGTTGGCGTTCATATTGCTGATGTGAGCCATTTTATTAGGCCAGGAAATGCCTTGGATCAAGAATCAGCCAGAAGAGGAACAACTGTGTATCTTTGTGAAAAGGTAAGTATACTGAATTTAAAAATTTAACAATTATGCACACTTGTGGATTCTTAAACAGCCATGAATTAGCTAAGAAAAATACATGGAATAAGGTGGCTTTAAATCACTAAATATGTTGCAAATTTTTATTATCAAGTGGTTCAGATAACAAAGTATTGTGGGCCAGGCATAGTGGCTCACGCCTGTAATCCCAGCACTTTGGGAGGCTAAGGCAGGCAGGTCACCTGAGCATGGGGTTTCGGGACCACCCTGACCAACACAGAGAAAAATACAAAATCAGTTGGACATGATGGCACAAGCCTGCCCAGCTACTCCGGAGGCTGAGGCAGGAGAATGGCTTGAACATGGGAGGTGGAGGTTGCCGTGAGCCGAGAATGCGCTCATGTACTCCAGTCTGGGCAACAAAGGCGAAACTCCATCTCAGAAGCAAACAAACAAAAAAGTATTGTGAAAGTCAAGGGGAAGGATACCCTTAGTCTGTTAGCGATTTATTCTTGAGGTTCTTCTGTATAGTTTTTTCCAAAAATTTAGTTTCTCTTTTCTTTTGTAGTATTTTTAAAACACCTTATAGTTTATATTAAGCATTGGAGAAAGGTCCAGTTATAGAGTATGTCAGTTATCAAGTATAAACTTGTACATAGCAGAGATTGAAAACTTTCAGAGGACAGCTAGGTTGTTAATGTAGAGGACTTAAACTTAGATTAATTGGCATGAAGTCCAGTTTTCCTTCATAGCTTTCCTTCTTTAACAATTTTGTATAAGTAGCTTTATAGAAACATACCTTTCATTTGACCTTTTCTCAATTCTCCTATTTACAAAAATCAGAACACTCTTTTCTTTCCTTGTTTGAGTAATGCTATTTGAGAATAGAACCTCAAATAAATGTATGAATATAGCTAAGTAATCTGTGTTGTTTTTATGTTTTGCAGAGGATTGACATGGTTCCAGAGTTACTTAGCTCTAATTTGTGTTCCTTAAAATGTGACGTTGACAGGTATTTCTACATAGTTTTTTTTCTTGAATACATTGTATTTACTACTTTAACCTGATTCCTATTAAATACTCTGTATTTTCCTTCATAGGCTGGCATTTTCATGTATTTGGGAAATGAACCACAGTGCTGAAATCTTAAAAACAAAGTTTACCAAAAGTGTTATTAATTCAAAGGTTCGTTTCATGGCTAATCTCTAATGTTTAAACTTTTTGGTACGTTTTTGAAAAAGGCTAAATAAAGTTAAATTGTTGTAAAGATTTATGTATATGGTTATATATACACACACTTATAAAAATATGTATTTGAAAAGAAATATATAATTGTTTGTATTTACTTAACCTAAAATAAAAAAAAACATATAAATGGCTGAGATACAAACATAGTCTAAAAAAATCCACAGCTGCAGGCCGATGCTTACACACGTACAGATGCACTTAAATGTACACTAAAACTCATTTGACCCTTTTGCTGCCTACTCTCAAAGAAGAATGCAGAAAGCAGGTCTTATTGCCAGCTTTCTTTGACCCTTTCTATATTGCTCATACCAGGCCAAAATAACCAGCCCCAGTGCCATCACCTAAATTTGAGATTGCCTCCCACCTCTCAAGAAGTTTTCAATCAAGCTAGATGCTCGTTTGAACATGTAAAGTGGATATACAGACAAATGTATTTCAGTTTGGGTGGGAGGAGAAGAATCTTTCTAGGCAGAAAAACAAGGGCTAGGTCTCTGCCCTCAGGATAGAGTTGGGGTATTGTTATAGCAAAATGTAGAGGGTTTTTTTTTCCTCGTTATCTGCTTAATCCCTGCATAATTCTTGACGTTATTCAGAAATTAGTGCATGTTGCAGTTGTCCTGTATTCAGAAGCTTACAAAATATATACACTTGAGAAAACCAACTAGTGGTTTTATGCCGTAACTGAAGAACCCTAGTAATTGATGTTGTTCCTACTTATAATTGGTTAGTGTTTTAAAACTTAGCATATCCTCCTCTTCTTTCTTCACATTTTTTTTGTGGAAATTATGTTTAAGTCACTGTTAGATTTCAGTAGAACTAGCCTGAGATCATGTATATTCAGAATGGAGCTGGTTGTCTTTCTTGTCCTTTTCCTTTTTTTGTACCTCTCCCAAGAATCCCTTCTTTTTCTTTCTCATTTTGCCCTACATCTTTCTTCAAGGTTTACCAAACCTCTTATCTTCTAATCATCTGGTTTTCAAACTTAACCAGTTTTTTCTGGCCCTTTGGCATCCGTCTTGCTGTTCTGCTAACTAGTGGTTGGAAAGAAAGCAGTGTTAGGCTGACAAATAGTGATGTGTGCATTATTTAAGCTGCCACAGTTTGTACTTTTAAATAAGAATGACTTTTAATTCTTTAAGACTTGGTCAGTATAACAAAATTATATGAAAAAAAGCCTAGTTAACATACAACATAAAACCTCTTTCAGAGTGAAAACTTTTAGCCCTTAGTAGATGAGTTGGCTCTCCCAGGAATCTGACCTGACCTGCATTATCTAACTGTTAGGCCCTTTCTTATTTTCACTTATGAAGCTACTCTTTAAAAATAAGTTTTTTTTAAAAAAAGGTGAATTTCTGTGAGAGAAATAGGAACGGAAGCAGTTATTTGTGTATTTGAGTTGTTTGTCATTGGGGATTACCTTAACTTTTTTCTACTGTGATTTGTCTGGTTTTTACAGGCTTAATTTTGGGCATTTATTAGATTTAGATTTCCTCCAAAACATGATGTCTCCACTCCTGCAGTCTTAATTATTTGCAGGGGAGTAATGATCATCTGGAAAGGATTTCATATTTGTTATCAGAGAAAGTATTGATCTGACCTACCTCTGTGTTTTATTTTAGCATTATCTGGGTATTTATACAGTAACTGAAATATACAAGTAAAGTTTAAAATTTGTTTGCTACCAACATCGCCATTTTACCTTTTAAAATATGTTTGTTTATGTTGTATAATGCCTTAGGTAAGAATTAATGAACCAGAAATCATAGGTGTGAAGTATAAAGTCATAGCTAAGAATTTCTCTTGTGTTACTGATTTTAGGTTTTCTGAAATCATGAATTTTATGTAGTGGAAGCAGGAGGACATACTGCAAACCATTTTTCTATCATTTATGAGAATTATATAACATATAGTTTCTTTTTTAGGCATCTCTGACATATGCTGAAGCTCAGTTGAGAATTGATTCAGCAAATATGCGTGATGATATTACTACTAGTCTCCGTGGACTGAATAAACTAGCCAAAATTCTGAAGAAAAAAAGGATTGAAAAAGGGTATATTTTGTTTTTCATATTATTAAGATAATCTTTATACTCTTTACATTGTTTGATCATGGGCAATAAAAGAGACTCCCATTTCTTCTAGCTTCCTTTTATTTATTCATTTTGAGATGGAGTCTCACTCTGTCACCCAGGCTGGAGTGCAGTGGTACAATCTCAGCTCACTGCAACCTCTGCCTACCAGATTCAAGAGATTTTCCTGCCTCAGCCTCCCAAATAGCTGGGATTACAGGTGCCCACCACCACACCTGGCTAGTTCTTATATTTTTAGTAGAGACAGGATTTCACCATGTTTGCAGGCTGGTCTTGAATTCCTGACCTCAGGCGATCCACCTGCCTCAGCCTCCCAAAATGCTGGGATTACAGGCGTGAGCCACCATGCCCAGCCTCTAGCTTCCTTTTAAATGTTAGCAATTTGATTCTGGACTGATGTTTGTTCAGGACTTCCATCCTTGTAATTTGTTGTGCTAAAAATTATGTTTGAGTTAAAGATCTTGAAGAAATTCTAGATAAGATAAAAGATAAGAACTCCTTTAGACTTATATAGATTGTTTCTAATTTTAATTAGAAATGAGTTTCCACATTGGACATTGGATTTCAGAGGTTTAAATAAATGTAGATTAGGCCCTCCTTGCACTTTAAATTTTAGAGATTATTTAACTCAACCTCCTCATTTTTTTTAGACAATTAAAAGCTGCATAAAAGGAGTCCTCCCAAAGATCTGACTAGTAGCATATATGAGTCTTAGCTGTTCTGTCATGGCTTTTGCCTAACTACAAAAGGCATAAGGTATAGAGTATTAACTCAGACTTGTTGAAGGCAAGCAGTTAAAAGAAATTTGACCCTTAAAAGACATCGTTGACTATCAGAGGAAACCAAGTACATGAACGTTCTAGATGTTGGGTCTCAGGATTCCCAAGCCCATCTAGGATAGGGTCACAAGCTGTTGCTAAAGGTGTTTTTGTGGTGAGTGCAGACTGTAAATTTGTGTCGTTTCATAAGATGTACCTATTTAAATTCATTAAAATTAATAAAATTAACAACTTAGTTCTTTAACCTACTAGCCATATTTCAAGTGCTCAATAGCCACGTGACTAATGACTATTGTATTGGACAGGGTACACATAGAACATTTCCATCACTGCAGAAAGTGCTGTTGGACAGTGTTTGAGGTAGCTACATTGAGCTATATACCTATACCTATGTCTACTAACACCTTAGTTTTCAGGGGATTTTTTCATGTGATCTTAAATATGAAATTTGAAACTAAAAGGATTACTTGGGTATGCTAAAACCCAGTGGACGCTATTGAACTGGAGCAAAACTTTCACTCAAGTCATCACTTAGATATAAGAAGAAGATAATTAGATTTTTTTGTGTGACACAAAATGCCACAAAGTTTTTTTTTTTTAAAGCAATGTAAATTGAAGCTGTATTTACTTTCATGGTTTTAAAGTAAGAATTCGCATTTGTAACATAGGATTTTAAAACTGGGAAAGATATTTTTTAATTTCAACAGTCTGTATTTTTAAATTTGGTAAGTTGATGGTTGTCTACTGGTAAAACATCATTGAATCATTTTAGTCTTAGGGAGAATTGAAAAAACAATCAGAAAAAAAGCCATCTTTTGCCTTCTTAAAGTATTAATACTCATGGGTAGACATAACATTTTTTTTAGGTGTTCTATGAGGAAAAATCAAAAGTATACCTTGCTTTTTATGTCAAAGTACATTAATAAATATCAGATCTGATGTAGAGCCTTGTTTTAAGTGCACTACAAGGCAAGAAAGGATTTGAGATTCTCTTTCTCGTATGTATTCCTGCTACGGTTCTTTTAATACAGGTGAGGAATTGAGGAAGATAAGTACTTAGACTTAGTATTTCACTTAACTTGTTCCATGTCATCTTAATTTTTCTTCTCCCTTTGATTAATCAAGGTTGCCCAGCCTCATTAAAAGTTTTAGTTTTAGGTTGATTTCGAGCTGACCTGATAAAAGTTGTGTCAAGGTATAAGGACATATTAGACTTGCCTTGCCTTGTGGGAATTTACTTTCCAAAGGACAACTTGCCAGTTCATTAAATGAACTATGCATGTAAAGCCCTGAGCGTGAATTGTTTATCTGACACTTAGCACTCAAATATTAATAACCATCACTTCTTGTAACATATTAGTGATAGTAGGTTATCAGTTTTTGCTCTGTTGGTTCAATCTTCGTGGAAGATACTTTCGAACTGTGGATCTTCTGGTATTACTAAGCTACCCATGCCAGCTTCTTTTTTACCTGTCTTTATTGTCCATTGCCTCAATGACTGTTTTCTGTAGTAAATTAAATACGGCCAATACCCTTCTTTATTTGTAAAAGTGATTAAAAACCTGTGTAGCTCAGTAAAAACTCATCGTTTGGATACAGAAGATATATAAACCCTCAGAAGCACAGGGATTCAGATTTCCTTGTGTTGCTATCATCCTCTCTTGTTAAATGCATTTTTAAATCTCTAAAATACTAAGCTATTTATTAAAATAGAAACATAAAACAGCAGATGGTCATAAAGCCTTCAGGAGAGCAACTCTTGTGCACGTGCTGTAGTAATTGTCTTTTTTAAGGAATAATTTCTATAATTTTGTTTTATTGGCTTGCTTGACTATAATTTGTCTCTTTAATTTTTATTTAGGGCTTTGACTCTGTCTTCTCCTGAAGTTCGATTCCACATGGACAGTGAAACTCATGATCCTATAGATCTGCAGACCAAGGAACTTAGGTTTGTAATTTTTTTGATGGGCAGTAGATAAGATTTTTTTGTTATAAATGTAATGTCGACTGTAAGTACAAATAACAAAAATATTTATATACAACATAATGATTAGGGTTATGATTTTTACTTTTTTGGCTTATGAAAGAAAAGTAAATTTAAGCTTTTCTTATATAAAACTGGATTTAGTAGCATAATAGAAGAACTTTCCATTTAAATTTGTTTGCTTCGATGTATAATGTATTAGAACTTACTAATAGTCATTATAATAAGTAAAAGAAAAAAAGATGACTGTGATTAATTTCTGAAGAATTTAATATAGCATATACTGTAGTGCAGGGCTTCCCAGCCCCTGGGCCGTGAGCATTACCACCTGAGCTTTGCCTTCTGTCACATCAGTGGCACTATTAGATTCTCATTGGAGCACCAGCCCTACTGTGAACTGTGCATATGCAGGATCTAGGTTGTGTGCTTCTTATGAGAATCCAATGCCTGATGAAATCATCCCTCCTTCCCCTCGTCACATAGAAAAATTGTCTTCCATGAAACCAGTCCGTGGTTCCAGAAAGATGGGGGCAGGATAGAATAATGGATGGTAGGATAGAACAATGGATAGTAGAATAGAATTATGGTGAAGATTATGAGCTATGAAATCAGACTCCCTAGGTTTGGATCCCTCTGCTGTCATTACTGTTACATTTCCAACTATTTAAAGTAGGTATTTGACCTCTCCTTGCCTCAATTTATTTTTCTATAAATTGCCTATGATTGATAATGGCACCTACCTCATAGGGTGCTGTGAGGAATATACAGATATTAGCTATTTTTGTTTATTGTTGTAGTTAAGATGATGTAGGAAGCAATAATATTTTTTGTTAAATCAGTTTAGGCCGCTTTCTATGCTTCTTATTTATATTAATTCTGGAATTAAACATGCATATACTCTTTTCTAATAGATGACCAAGGGTTAAAAATGGGAATATACTCACATTTTTTACTTAGAACCAATATGTGCTATACTGCTATTGTAATATCTAAAAATCCCTTATAGGAGAACTTCTGTGTAAGTATGTCTAATGTTAGTGCTAACAATGAGCCGAGTAGTAGGAGCTTTCATTGAGAAGAAAGTTGATACTAGCTTTGCCAAAGTAAAACATCACCTGTTTCTTCTTTTTTTTTTTTTTGAGACAGAGTTTTACTTCTCTTACCCAGGCTGGAGTGCAATGGCGCGATCTCGGCTCACCACAACCTCCGCCTCCTGGGTTCAGGCAATTCTCCTGCCTCAGCCTCCTGAGTAGCTGGGATTACAGGCATGCGCCACCATGCCCAGCTGATTTTCTGTGTTTTTAGTAGAGACGGGGTTTCACCATGTTGACCAGGATGGTCTTGATCTCTTGACCTTGTGATCCACCCGCCTTGGCCTCCCAAAGTTCTGGGATTACAGGCGTGAGCCACCGCGCCCGGCCCACCTGTTTCTTCTTACTAAGAAGAAGAAAGAATACATTTCTAAGATGTTGTCCCCATGTGATTGGAGGTCTTTCTAATATTTTTTTAATGAATGTACTTTGCCAAGAAGTTACAAGCTGAAACTTGAATAAAAGTTAATAATATCTGTTCAATGATTTGAGACACAGAAAGAGCACTATATCAACAGAAAATGGATAATTTACTAAACTAACCTAAAAATGTATATGAATAACTATATAGAGTATGACAGCAGTATCAGATTGGTTAAGAGTTTTGAAGTTAGATTTTGTGGACTCAGATTCTCATATTGCTAATTATTCTCACCTTGAGCAAGAGAATAATGAGCATATCTTCAATTTTCTTATCTGTAAAACAGGGTATATGTGTGTGTGTCTGTACCTCTGTGTGTGTGTGTGTGTGTGTGTGTGTGTTGAGGGTGGGTTGTACTTACAGCATAATTGCTGACCCATTTTAAGTATCCAAATTAGCTATTATAAATATGATCTCTTCATTTTAGTAATGTATTGTTGAAAATTTTATTTTTTTAAGCCAAAATTTGTATGATCTAAGTAGCTTTTAATTCTTAGTAAACTTTATTGATTTATGATTAAATATATTTTGGACCTTGTAAAATTAAGTAAAAATGTTTGGTTTTGTTTTATAAGCAAATAGAGTAGTAAGGCTTCTGGTTTTGAGTGCAGTTGTGTTATTGTTTTTTGACACAGAGTCTTGCTCTGTCACCCAGGCTGGAGTGCAGTAATGCAATCGTGGCTCACTGCAACCTCCACCTCCCGGGTTGAAGTGATTCTTACCCCTCAGCCTCTTTAGCTGGGACTATAAGCATGTGCCACTAGACCTGGCTAATTTTTTTGTATTTTTAGTAGCATTGGGGTTTTGCCATGTTGGATAGGATGGTCTCGAACTCCTAGGGTCAAGTGATTTGCCTGTCTTGGCCTCCCAGAGTACTGGGATTACAGGTCTGAGCCACTGCACCTGGATCAGTGCAATTTGTAAAGTCTCCTCTAGTATGTGAGATTGACTCATGCAGTAGATGCATAATAAGAGATTGCTAGCAGAGTAACTGAGAGATGAAAGAATTGTAAGTTATTTAAAATACAAATGTACACACACATATGAATGTTTACATAGGAAATGCTCTTATTATCTTCTTGGTAACAAAGGTAGCCTGTGAAAAATATGTTATATAGAAGTCTCATGTTCTCTTTTTTTGGTTGTTTAATGCTTTTTCCATTGGCAGGGAAACAAATTCCATGGTTGAAGAATTTATGTTACTTGCCAATATCTCCGTTGCAAAAAAAATTCATGAGGAATTTTCTGAACATGCTCTGCTTCGAAAACATCCTGCTCCACCTCCATCAAATTATGAAATTCTTGTTAAGGCAGCCAGGTCGAGGGTAAGGTCCTATAGTTTGAAAAATCATCTATTTGTGTTTTGATGTATCTGTTCTAAATAATTTTATATTCATAGCTCCATAAAAGTTTTGTTGTTTAACAAGACTATGCCAATAGTTGTTTTTCTTTATTTTTTTTTTTTGAGACAGGTCTCACTCTTGTCACTCAGACTGGAGTGCAGTGGCACAATCTCAGCTCCCTGCACCCTCCACCTCTGGGTCTCAAGCCATCCTCCTGCCTTAGTCTCCTGAGGAGCTGGGACTGCAGGTGCACACCACCACAAGCAGCTAATTTGTTTTTGTATTTTTTTCTAGTATAGATAGGTTTTCACAGTGTTGCCCAGGTGGTCTCAAACTCCTGGGGTCAAGTAATTATCCTACCTCAGCCTCCCAAAGTGCTGGGATTATAGGTGTGAGCCACTGCACTCAACCTAACGTTTTTTAAAAAACACCCTATGCTAAAGCCAGGTGTTTAGAGAGCTGGGAGCAGTAGTGTTGGACTGCAGAGCATTATTCTAACATGATGGCATTGGTTTCTACTTTTGGATCAGACCTTTATGGCATGCATATCTACCTTCTCCCTATTCACTGGAATTGAATCAGCTGCTCATTCCTCTGCTCCAAGGCTTATTCTGTAAATAGGGAATTTTCCTTCATTGTCTTATTTCTTCCAAAGACCTAAGAGAAGAGATGTATTTTTGACTCATCTCCGTATAGTAGAACAAAGAAGCCAAATTTGATGAATCAGAACATTGTTCTGATGGAAGTGTAGTGACCAGTACAGTTTTGTTTCTGGCCATTACTTCTACTTTGAAGGGAAGGAAAGTAACAAAAAGATGATGTTTGTTTGGTGAGATTGGTTTATTTTGAAGACATAATGGTATTGACTTACAAGTGTTTAATATGGTGCTCTTCCCTCCTTTTGTTTACAGAATTTGGAAATTAAGACTGATACAGCTAAGTCTTTGGCTGAGTCTTTGGATCAGGCCGAATCTCCTACTTTTCCATATCTAAACACTCTGTTAAGAATATTAGCCACTCGCTGTATGATGCAAGCTGTGTACTTCTGTTCTGGAATGGATAATGATTTTCATCACTATGGCTTAGCATCTCCAATATACACACATTTTACTTCGCCCATCAGAAGGTATTAATTATTTCCTTACACAATTAAAGATCATAGAAAATAGTTAATTTTGAATTTTAAAAGCACCTATTAATACTGACATACCATGGTTCTCATTTCTCCCTCATCTTTCTAGATACGCAGATGTCATCGTTCATCGGCTTTTGGCTGTGGCTATTGGGGCTGACTGTACTTACCCAGAGTTGACAGACAAACACAAGCTTGCAGATATATGTAAAAATCTCAATTACAGGCACAAAATGGCTCAATATGCCCAGCGTGCATCAGTGGCTTTTCATACCCAGGTACTTGCCTTCTGTTGGGACTGCTAGTAAAGATGAAGTTTTGTTCATTTTTTATTTAATTTCAATTTTTTTTGTTCCTTTTAAAATATTTTAAGACTATTTAAATAAGTTGTATGTTATTTTACAGCTATTTTTCAAAAGCAAAGGAAGAGTAAGTGAAGAGGCCTATATTTTATTTGTAAGAAAGAATGCTATTGTGGTATTAATTCCAAAGTATGGTTTAGAAGGGACAGTCTTTTTTGAAGAAAAGGACAAACCAAACCCACGGCTTATTTATGATGATGAGGTACAGTATTTCTCATGTTTGTTTTCATTTCTGGGGGGTGCTTTTTCTTTGAGAGTTCATACATGGTACCTATAAAGCATAAAATAAAATTTTTTTTTGTACCCTGAAGAATTTAATTTTGCCGCCTAAATTATGGTTTTACTCACAGTTTGTCACCGCCATCTATCTACTCACATGCAGTTGTTGTCTTTGATTTCTTTCTTTTATACCATGTTACGTTTTGCTCAACCGATAAAGGAATAAATGACTGTTGATAGCTCAGGGAAGGAACTTTTTTTAACTTACAGTGTCTCTTATTTGACACACACTCCCTGTTCTCCTTGGTAGAACTGCAGCTCTTAGAGAATAGTCGAATAATAAACTGGCCAAAACACCTTTGTGTTCCTCTACTAGACTAAAAATCTGCTATTTACTGGGTGATTAATTAATCATCAAGATTTTAATGAGTATAAATATTGGAACTACCTTTTTTTTTTTTTTGAGACAGAGTTTCACTCTTGTTACCCAGGCTGGAATGCAATGGCGCGATCTTGGCTCACCGCAACCTCCACCTCCTGGGTTCAGGCAATTCTCCTGTCTCAGCCTCCTGAGTAGCTGGGATTACAGGCACGCACCACCATGCCCAGCTGATTTTTTGTATTTTTAGGAGAGATGGGGTTTCACCATGTTGACCAAGATGGTCTTGATCTCTTGACCTCACAATCCACCCACCCCATCCTCCCCAAGTGCTGGGATTACAGGCGTGAGCCACCGCACCCGGCCCTGGAACTATCTCAATGAAGGAGAAAGTATGCACATAAATAGGTCATATTTACGTGAGACTACTAGGTTTGTGGCTTTTATGTCAAATACCTAGATGCTTACTAATTTTTATATTTAAACCTTTAAATTCCTATGTAAGATAAATTGTAAAGGATTAGAACAAAGCCTCAAATGTAAAGAAGCAATTAAGATTGATAAAATGTGTTTTGTTTAGATACCCTCACTTAAAATAGAAGACACAGTGTTCCACGTATTTGATAAAGTTAAAGTGAAAATCATGTTAGACTCATCTAATCTTCAGCATCAGAAAATCCGAATGTCCCTGGTAGAACCACAGGTAAGGCTAAACTTAAAATTTCCATGTTGTGATGGAACGAACAGTACATATTTTGTCGAAGAGAGGGACATAGTTATTTCTGTTTAATGTTGACCCTGTAAGTGTTGTAGAAACCAAATATTTGTATAGCAAATCCTGTTTTCTCACTGATTTCCTTAGGCCATGGGATTCTAGACATCTGAGATTCTTTTCAGGTCTTTGGTACCAAAATAAAAGATCTTCCATTCTCCTCCCTAGTCTTTTCTCTCTAGAAGTTTTGAACTCTGCACTTTGAAGATAAAGTATAGGTGTTTCACCTAAGATACTGGTTCTCAACCTTTGTACTTCCCCAACACACTTGAAACCTCTGATTCTGTCAATCACAGTGGCTCCCCATGTGGAAGACTATTACAGTTAAAAAAAACTTCCCAAATGACATGCTTCTCACCTATTGAGACTGTCTTTTACATTTTTGAACCACTGTTACTTTGTAAAGTAAATTTTACCTTGTTTTCCCCCATTTGCATTACTTTAGATACCAGGAATAAGCATTTCTCCTGATGATATTTCAAACATGAACCTTAATGGACCGGAGAAAAAGAAGATGAAGCTTGAAAAATAGCTACATTCAAGAAAAGTCTTCAAAGACTGGTTTCCTTTTTAAAAGAAAAAACTTGAGAAAACACCTCTAAGCCTAAGTGTGTGATATAGTTTGTTTAAGTACATTTTAATAATTTCAGACATTTGCATTTTTATTGAACAGTTCTGTATCTGTCCCATCATACTACTTTAGTTCTGGGTTGAATAGAATTATTTATGCAGAATAATTCAATTGCATATCTATCAGTTAAATACGGTGACAGGACAGCAACTTGAGGGATCTGTAAAGATCATGTAAATGGAGTGCTCATCTGCCCATGGAGGAGCAGATTAATTTTGTGTAAGTACTTTGATTACTTAATATTGGTAGGAAAAAACTCATTTTCCTACAGAGGAAAATAGAACAATTTTAGAAGCAAGGAACAATCTCTTTCTGTCTTGAAAGCTGTCAGTGTTGAGGATGTAATCTCCTTTGCCATCTTTAACTTACCTAACTTACACTAAGTGTTCTCTCACTCTCTTTAGAAGCTTCCTGTATTTTATTAGTGGTCCTTGAACAACTGTGAATGTTTGGGAATTGGTAGGAAGGCAAGAAGTAGGATATTTTGACCTGACTGGAGAGATGGTTGTATTTTTATTACCAGGTATAAGTGTAATCATCATTGTTGAACTTCAGCGCCAGTGTCTCTCCAGAATAAAACATTGGCATTCAAATGTCTATATCTTGTTACTTACAAAATAAAACAGATAATTAATGGCCTTTAAATTGTAGTTATATCAGATTATATACACGAGAGGAACTATATAAAGACATAATAAAGGGAACACATTAAGAATAAAATTTGGTATGCCACACTACTTCCCTTGCTAGTCACAGATTAGTAATGATTGAATTAATATCTTCAAGAATATTTTGGGATAGGCTTGCCTTAAAACATTTTACTTGGCTTATTCAATTTCTGAAGCACTTAGAGTATGCCAGGTTCCACTCAAGTAGACTATCTCTGCCTTCGAGGAGCTTGCAGTGTAGTGAGAAAAGACTGGCACATAAATCAGCAGTTATACTAAATACGTAGTCATTTAGGCACTCAGTAAATGTTGAATAATTTTTCCAGTTTCCTGTTACTGAGGAAAACCTCCATACATTGAGGCAGAACTTGTGTCAGTTGGAGGAAGATAGACTTGAGTAGTCTTTGGTCCAATTCAAATGGGTAAGTGGCACTAACACAGCAGAGAAGTCAGCAAACCTTCTCTGTAAAGTGCCAGAACATTTTAGACTTTGTTGGCTGTGGTCTGTATTGCAACTATCGTATACAACTCTGCTGTTGATAGTGTGTAAAGAGCCACATACAATATGTAAACAAATGAACATGGCTGTGTTCCAACAAAACCTGATTTGTTAAGTTTCATAGTCACACGTCACCATGATAGGGATATGTTCTGAGAAATGTCACTTGGCAAATTTGTCCATGTGTGAACATCATGATGTAGTTACACAAACCTAGATGGTATATCCCACTATGGCGTCCTATGTGGTATAACCTACTGCTCCTAACCTACCAAGCTGTATGGCGTGTTACTGTACTGATTACTGTAGGCAGTTGTAACACAGTGCTAAGTATTTGAGTATATAAACATATCTAGACATGGAAAAGGTACAGTAAAAATATAGATATAAAGTGGTACACCTATTTAGGACACTTGCCATGAACAGTTTGCAGGGCTGGAAGTTGGCTCTGGGTGAGTCAGTAAGTGGTTAGTGCATGTGAAGGCCTAGGATGTTACTAAAGACTTTTATCAACACTATACACTTAGGCTACATAAATAATTTCACCATGATGTTACCATGGCTATGTCCCCAGGCAATAGGAATTTTTCAACTCCATTGTAATCTGGCAATAGGAAAATTTCAACTCCATCATATATGTGGCCCACTGTTGACCAAAAATTATACAGCATGTCATTATAATTTTGATGTGTCACAAAACATTACTCATTTGATTCCCCCACCCCGACCAATCGTTTAAAAGACTTTGCCAGCCAGGTGCAGTGGCTCACACCTGCAATCCTAGCGCTTTGGGAGGCCAAGGTGGGTGGATCACCTGATGTCAGGAGTTCAAGACCAGCCTGGCAAACGTGGCGAAACCCCATCTCTACTAAAAATACAGGCATGGTGGCAAGCACTGTAATCCCAGTACTTGGGAGGCTGAGGCAAAGGAATTGCTTGACCCTGGGAGGCGGAGGTTGCAGTGAGCCGAGATCGTGCCACTGCACTCCAGCCTGAGCCACAGAGTAAGACTCTGTCTTGAAAAAAAAAGGAAAAACTGCCTACAGGCCGTAGTTTACCTGCAGTAGAGAACAACAGAGAAAAAGAGCAGGTAAGGCAGTGTGTGACTGGCCTTATTTTATCTTTCCAAGTTTGTTTTCTTATGCTTCAGCTAATAATAAGGTTTAATTCAGGGATACGTCCCAACTGAGTAGTTCAAGATGATCAGAGACTTAGTTATTTTCCCGTAAGTCCTATTCAGTAATTTTAAATGTTCTGTTTCTAGTGCCAGTGCTTATGCTAAGCAGGTTACATGGAATATATTACTTAAAACTCAAAAAGCCCTGTTAGGCCTGACTATTATCTCCATTTAACAGATGAGAAAATGGAGGCATATGGTCCATTCTCACATTGCTAAGAAGAAATAACCCCAAACTGGGTAATTTATAAAGGAAAGAGGTTTAATTGACTCAGTTCTGCATTGGTAGGAAGGCCTCAGGAAACTTACAATTATGGCAGAAGGCAAAGGATAAGCAGGAACTCTTCTTCCTCACAGGGTAGCAGGACAAAGTTAGTGCAAGCAGGGGAAATGCCAGGCGCTTATAAAACCATCAGATCTCATGAGACTGGCTCATGATCACAGGCACAGCATGAGGAAACTGCCCCCACGATCCCGCCACCTCCACCTGGTCCCACCATTGACACTTGGGGATTGTTACAATTCAAGGTTAGATTTAGGTGGGGACACAGCCACACCATATCAGCTCAGATCAGGTAGTGACAAGTAGGGATTTGAATACAGGTTATAGCCACCATTTTATTTCTTAACTTGTGCTATTAAAAAAAAACTATAGCCAGGAAGGCTTCTACCCTTAGTACCCAGAACTCCTTTTATGTATACCAGTTGTTTTTAGGTAAATTTATATTGAATTTAATGTTGGGAATCCATGACCCCACACATTGGGTGCTGGAACGTAGGGATCAGTGAGTTCCACTTTGGGCACCAGAATGTAGGGATCCTTCAGTTCCACGCTGGGCACCAGAATATAGGGAGCCAGCCCTACATCACCTGTGGGAACCCTGAGTTCAGTAGTGACAAAGGAATGAGAAAGATTAAGAGATAGTGGGACCAGGGGGCCATCACTTACTATGGATGAGGCAGTGAAGGCCCCGAACTCTGATCATCCACTCCATTTATTGGTTGCAATCACTTTGATCTACAGGGTAGGGGTGGAGTAACAGTGGGAGAGGGTGACAGTGGAGTGAATCAGTGAGCCAGAACTGAATCAGTGGGCTGGAACTGGTATATCATTCTATAGATAGATAACAGTGGTGGTTTGGGAGTTTCACAAAACAAGAACATATGGTTATATTTAGCTTATTATCTATGTGCAGCTGGTGGAATGCGGGCCTTACAAGGAGCCTACAAGTCTGGCGACATCATAGTGCTACAAAGGGGTTTTACGTCCTTGAGCACAATGTTTATGGTACCAGAGCCAAGTTTACCCTGCTTCAGAACATGAGGCATGGAGAGGACTTCTTCCTCAGAGGCCTCCTGCAGTTTTTAGTTCCTTGTTTATGGGTTACTCATAAACAATTTATGTAGGCACTTTGTAAGTCCTTTCTCCTTTGCTGCTTTCCCCAACAATTTAACACTTATGTGATTAAAGACAACTTTCCAATGCAATTATCTGTAGCCATGGCCCCTAATGGCTAATGGCATTCATGGTTAGTGTGTTGACGATGTGCCAGGTACATAATGTGGCACATTTTCTGCAGGTCAGCAGTTAAGCTTTCAGGAAATGGTTATAGAGGAAAGAAGAAAATGACACATTGATAACATAGGTCTTTATTTCCTAGGGCTACATACACATTATTCCCTTTTAAATGAGATAGTTTTTAAATGTTGATTTGTAAATACAAATACACATTCTTCAACGATAGTATTTCCAAACATGTTATATACCCATCTATTCTCAACATGGTTATATGTTTTTTAAAAAAATTCTTGTATATATAACATACATATCAGACCAGTGTTACTTCACAGGCCTCCGCCCTACAGGAACTCCACTCTCCCAGTCCCAGTGTTTCCCTTGGTTCTCCCACATTCCTACCCACGTTTGAACTGGAAAGGATGTCCCTACCCTAGGCATGAGGTATATTTTATTCTGGGAACCACACATTAGCCCCCATAGATAATACATGTGATGATATCGCTTGTACTACCTATCTAGTATTTACATTTTTAGACAGTTATTACTGGAATTAAGAATTTTCCTCACAGAGGTAAACAGTTCAAGAACTAAAATTTCAAGAAACTTCGTTTTTTTTTCTGTATCTTTGGTAAGTTAGTTTTATATCTAAGATTTCTTCATATGGGTTATAAATCATCTGTATGTTCAATCTTTTATGTAAAAATATATAGTACCTTCAGTTGCAACATAGTTTCACGTGCTCTCAGAACTGCTAAATTTAGTGCTATCAGTAAGGCTTAATAAGTAGTTCACTGACCCTGTAGGATACGAGCATTCAGCTCTGTCATAATTTGTTGTTAAAGACGCCACTCAAGGTAAGTATAAAAATATTTATTGGTAAAAAATGAACTTGCTATTCAGCAACCTGAAGTTCCAGGAGCATTTCTGTTGTTCCTATGTCAGTAAGCCCTTGATTTTTCACATTAAGGAGGGAAAGCTAAGCATGTTACTTGAAGCAATTTTTTCCCTGTCACCATTACATTGATCCTGTGCACAAAGATATATGCAAGGAACTCTTAAGCTTAGTCTTTGTTTCTAACAGAGGTATTCTATGGACTGCCGCATTGAAAAGGACTTGCTGTTTTCATCCAACACCTCTGTGTTGTGTGGTCTTGCTGTGAAAAAGAAGATAATACGTTGTTTTCAGTTTAAGTAGGACCATTCGAGGATGCAGTTATTATTGGAACTGTCTTTAAAACCTAAAAGCACGTTTCTTTAGCTGAACTCTGAAGGGACAGTAAAGACACGGTATTTTATAAATCAATATTCTGTATTAAAAAGAATCCCAACACTTTGAGAGGCCAAGGTGGGAGGACTGCTTGAGCCCAGGAGTTTAAGACTAGCCCTGGCAACATAGTGAGACCCCATCTCTACACAAAATTATAAGGAAGCTGGCATGGTGGCACATGCCTGTAGTCCCAGCTACTCTGGTAGGTGAAGGCTGCAGTGAGCAGATGTCATGCCACTACACTCTAGCCTGGATGACAGGATGAGACCCCGTCTCAAAAAATCTTTCATGTATCTCTACTTATGTTTAGATAGAAAACTATTTTCTGAAACAGGATGGATTTTGTTCAGGTTAGTATTAGAAGAGACCTGCTCTGATACTACCTACATACAACAGAAAGACAGTTGGTAAGAAAAGAAAACTAAGGTGGACTCCCTATTAAACTTTGTTTGCACATTTGCTGATATTTACAGTATTTTATAAGAAACTGGCATATAACAGCAGGGTGAAGTGGCTTATACCTGTAGTTCTAGCTATTCAGGAGGCTGAGGCAGGATGGCTTGCGCCCAGGAGTTCAAGCCTGCAGTGATCTATGATTGCATCACTGCATTCCAGCCTGGGTGACAGAAAGACCCTGTCTCAAGAAAAAAAAAAAAGGAAAGAAAAAAGAAAAATGGCATACAAGGCTGAGCATGTTGGTGCATGCCTGTAATCCCAGCTCTTTGTGAGACTTGAGGCAGGAAGATTGCTTGACACCAGGAGTTATGAGACCAGCCTGGGCAACACAGCAGGCCCTGTCTCTATCAAACATAAAATACAAAAGAAATTGGCATATAAAATTAAAGACTGTCCTGACTAGTACCTGAAATGATGATGAGTTTCTCCAAGTACAAACACATAACCATCATCTGCAAGGTTCAGTAAATGCCCTCATCAAATATATGCTACCTTTGCACACTTTGTAGTATGTAACATACTCATGTTACATTCAGAGCAACCAAAATATTTAAAGGGTATTGGATTTTAAGAAATCAGCCTTACCTTTTAGTGTTTTCGATTTCATATAGCTTCTCAATAGTACTATTCTCTAATAATCAAAATTCTTTCCTATTTCTAACCTAAAAACTAATTTTTCTTTACATTTTCTTCATACCTTCATATTAAACGTTTGAGATGTACTCTCAACTTCACCAATTTGTGCATCACTTTCTTTGCAGTAACTTTCTGCTCCAACTGTATCTGTAATATTGCTTCCACAATTCTGTGTATTATAGCCACTATCCATCTGACAGGAGAAAAAAGAAAAATATATTGTGAGGAACTTAAAAGTCAAGTATTTTAAGTAAACCACTATAAACTATTGTTCACTACATCTGACTGATACTAACATGTAATGTTGATCATGTTGAACAAAATTCAAAAGTAATACACAAAAGTATTTCTACGTAGTACTGATTATTGTAGTTACTTTACAATTCCTTCCAATGAAATGTATCTTGTAACTTCCTTAAGAATCAGTGAACAATCTACTGACAAAATGCTTTCCTGTTACTTTGTGATCATACCTAGTAGATGAAAATGAGTATTACAATTAACTTCACCTTCCAACTCATTTTCCAGGCTTGTCTCTAAATGGCTTGGCTGCAACCTTAAATAAAATCTACCAAAAAGGCATGCTGCCTTTAAAAAGGTGGGTTATATTCACACCTTAGTTGTTCAAGATAATGCCACATGTATAACGGCTGTAGATGTTCAGCTTTTCAGGTTAATAAAAACTGTAGCATTCTAAGATACACTTTCAGTGCAAGAGAGAAAGATTTTAGCAAACTTCTAACTTGGATTATAAATAACATAACATTGGGGTCTCTAAAAAGGCCAGGCACTATCTCTGTAATATTTAATATTTTTTCTTCTTTCAACAACCCTATAACTTTATGAAAGGAGGAAATTAAGGCTTAGAAAGCTTAACTTTCACAATGTCATCCAGTGATGAGGTGATAAAGATCTGAGACCTAAGTACAGGTTCTGTTCACTGCACAACACCATTTACCTGCATAATGCTGAGCACCAGAGAAAGCAATCCACAAGGGAATCACTTTGCATTTAAGCCCTCCCTGCAAGTTAGGATCAGAGAGAAGGAAAAGATGACTGTCATTTTGTTCCCCTCACAAACCTACAGAGGACTAGAAAGTGCAGTCTATCACTCATAATCCTGAAAAACTGATCCCCATTTTCAGGCTGGATACATATCTGCTGACTACTGGAGGTCGTGTAAAAGCCTTGTGATGTGTAACATTTTGGTGAAAAAACCGTGTTCTGCTATCATTCAACAGCTACTTGATCAAAAACATAAATGTCAGATTGCTCCCAGAGATTCTGCCAATAGCTCTTCTTTCTCATACTCATCACTGCCAAATAGCTGGCTCATAACGCAATACTAGTACATAACTGGATATATATCGAGGGAAAAGTTACTCATTAGTACAGCAGGAAGTAAGGCATGCAGGGAGTTTGTCCCACTTTAATGGAAAAAGCAGGATCAATGGGAGCCAAGTTGAGATGGTGGCTGACCTCACTGTCCCTCATCTAGACTGCTACTAATGTCCATGCCTAATATGTACCAACCGAGCAACACAGATATCTTGTTATCACCCACAGGCATCAAGGTAGGCATCAATCTCACTTCATAGCTAAGAAGGCAGAGGGGCTAACAGTTAAAAAGTCATGTTCTATTCACTGTTATATAAGTCTTGCCTTAAGATCCCATAGCCTGGAAATAAAAGAACTCTAATTCAAACTTTGTTCTAATTGCAAAGTTTATATTCCCGTTGGGCCATGGTGCCTTTAAATGGTGTCTCTATGTCAGTCATTTAACATGCACTTTGTTACTAAATTTATTTTTTTACCATATAAATCAGATGTCATTGTCTTTTAAAACTTCTGATTGGCAACAACTGTGCCTTGTGATTCCTTGATATCTGGGCCCAGCACTTGAGCTCTTCCCTCATTATTCTCAATCCCCCCTGGTTGTTACCATTGAGAGGATCTTGTCTCCCACTACTATTTACATTTTTGCTTTTATTATTGTTTTAAACTGACACACAGTTACACATATTTATGATGTACATATTTTGATACATGTTTATGTGTAATGATCAAATCGAGGTAATTAGCACATCCATTAACTCAAACATTTATAATTGTGTTGGTAACTTTCAAAATCTGCTCTTCGAGCTATGTGAAAATATACGATAAATTGTTAGTTACACTTACCCTATAGTGCTATAGAACACTAGAATGTATTCCTCCTATCTAGCTGTGCTTTTGTATCCATTAACCCACCTCTCCCTATCCCTGCTCCCTCTACCCTTCCCATCCTCTAGTACCCACCACTATTCTACACTCTTATGAAATCAACCTTTTTAGCTTCCATATGAATGAGAACATGTGGTATTTATCTTTCTGTGCCTGGCTTATTAATGTCCTCCAGTTCATCCCTGTTGCTGCAAATATAAGGATTTAATTCTTTTTTTATGGCTGAATAGTATTCCACTGTGTATATGTACCACATATTCTTTATCCATTCATGTATTAATGGACACTTAGGTTGACTCCATATTCTGGCTATTATGACTAGTGCTGCAATAAACACTGGAGTGCAGGTATCTCTTCAACATACTGATTTCCTTTCCTTTGGATATATACCTACTAGTAGGATTGCTGGATCACATGGTAGTTCTATTTTTAGTTTTTTGAGGAACCTCCATAATGGCTGTACTAATTCATATTCCCACAAACAGTGTTCAGGTACTGTTTACTTATATTAATCACAATGATAATGCTAATATCCTGTAATCCTATTACTATCCCCATTTAAAGAAGAGGAAACAATCTGAAAGAAACTATCACTTTCTAGAGTTTATAAAGCTAACAGAGCTGGGCTATAAACTGAAATCTGCCATTATAGTTTCCCAAGTGCATGTTCTTTAATGCCATGCTCGCCCCTCAACTAAAAATATTGGCACCCACACCCATCCTGGCACCCTGCCCTCCTTTAAACATGGAAAGGTTACTTCAGCTACTCCTATCAGGGCTCTAGATTCTACCCGCTCTTGTGTGCCTCAGTTCCCTCATTTATAAAACAGCTCACCATTTCACAGATGAGGATATCTATTAGATCTGTGAGGCATCACAGGGATTAGCTTCTGACTGTACAATGCCTGGCATGGTCTCTGGTACTTGAAAAAGATATATGACTGATACCTATTATTAATCATGATACTAATTAATAATTATTCTGCCCAATTCCTAGTTTTTAAAAATATCCCTCTCATCTTCATTTAAATGCTGCATATGCTGTTTCTTCTGTGTTCCATTATTGGAATACTAAGCATGTGGGAGTACTGCTCAAGGCCATCACCAAGGTCTGATTGTAAAAATTCAAAAAATTGCAACCTCAGTCATAATTGGGTTAAGTAAAAACAAAGTAAAAAAGCAAACTACAGGCCGGGTACGGTGGCTCAAGCCTGTAATCCCAGCACTTTAGGAGGCTGAGGCGGGTGGATTACGAGGTCAAGAGATCGAGAACCAACCTGGTCAACATGGTGAAACCCCATCTCCACAAAAAATACAAAAATTAGCTATATATGGTGGCGCATGTCCGTAATCCCAGCTACTCAGGAGGCTGAGGTAGTAGAATTGCTTGAACCCAGGAGGCAGAGGTTGCAGTGAGCCTACATCACACCATTGCACTCCAAACTGGCAACAGAGCAAGACTCCATCAAAAATAAATAAATAGGGCCGGGCGCAGTGGCTCACACCTATAATCCCAGCACTTTGGGAGGCCGAGGCGGGTGGATCACGAGTTCAAGAAATCGAGACCATCCTGGTCAACAAGGTGAAACCCCATCTCTACAAAAAATACAAAAATTAGCTTGGCATGGTGGTGCACGCCTGTAGTCCCAGCTACTTGGGAGGCTGAGGCAGAAGAATTGCTTGAACCCATGAGGCAGAGGTTGGGGTGAGCCAAGATCGTGCCATTGCACTCCAGTCTGGGTAACAACAGCGAAACTCTGTCTCAAAAAAAAAATAATAAAAATAAATAATAAAAAGATTTTTAGAAATTGGAGAATCAAAAGGAGTTACAGAGAGAACACTAAAAGTGACCGAGGAGAAATCTATTATTCAAGTAAAGATCCAAGAAGTGAAGGGAACTGTCAGGGCATTGAGTGAAGAGCATAATGGATGGAAAGAAACCCACAATGAAGAACATCATGGAAATTTCGGAACCCTGTAGACAGAAAAATTCCTATCCATGTCCAGAGAGTGGGAAATAAAAAGAGATCATAAACAAAAGACTAAGCACTGAAATCGTTGCATATCTCTCACTGAATGGAAGCAATGCCGTCAAACTCTGGAGGACATTTCTAAACTCTAAAATGTGAGAGACAGACACATCATCAGACATGCAATGCCTTTAGAAATGTACTCTTCCTCAGAAAGTTAGCAGAAAGCTAACTATGTGGCAGAGATGTATGAAGCATTTTTTTTTTTTTGAGACGGAATTTCGCTCGTTACCAAGGCTGGATTGCAATGGCGCGATCTCGGCTCACCACAACCGCCGCCTCTTGGGTTCAAGCAATTCTCCTGCCTCAGCCTCCTGAGTAGCTGGGATTACAGGCACGCGCCACCATACCCAGATAATTTTTGTATTTTTAGTAGAGACGGGGTTTCACCATGTTGACCAGGATGGTCTCGATCTGTTGACCTCATGATCCACCCACCTCGGCCTCCCAAAGTGCTGGGATCACAGGCTTGAGCCACCACGCCCAGCCTTATGAAGCATTTTTTATAGACATTATGATGGTATGAGTAAAACTGAGAATCATAAAGAGTAAAATTTTACTCTAAAGAGTAAAGAGCTTGGGAGATATCACACAATATATTTTTATCCAATAGAAGGAAGAGGTTTGTAATGGTAAGAGAAGTTCAAAAATGAATGGAATATGCCTGCAAGTGTAATTAAGCATAGATCATTTGACAATTTAGTAGTCACTACAATTTAGTAGTCCTTCTTAACTCTTACACTGCATGCTATTCATCATGGGTTTCAACACACATTTATACACTAGGAATAGTTCCCAAGAATATGCTACCCACGGCTTCCAGAGGGTTGTTTGATTGGATGATGATTAAAGTGTATTTCAACAAAAGTATTTTGTAATTCCTCTATAAAAAAAAAAAAAAGAGAAAGTGAAAAAAGGCAGAGTAAAAGAAATTAACAACATCTTTAAGGGATATACTTTTAAGCCTGTATGTGCTTTTTTGTATTTATGAAACCAACTTTATAGATGTTAAAATATGTAAAAGTGATTCTAGTATAATTTTTTTTTTTTTGAGCAATGAACCTAGAAGTTAGGATAGGCAACAGAAGCTTAAAAATAGGAGCAAAATATTATATTCAATTTTGGGTCATTTAGAATCCTTCCATGAGCTTTAACTTCAGCATGCCCAAACTGACAATACTAAAGCATTATAGAGTTGGTGTGAGAATTAAATGAATTAATAAAGTGGTTAGAAGAGTGCCTGACATATCAAAACACTATGTAAGTATGAGCTATTATTATGGGTCAGTATAAAGTTTTGGATGAAAGAACATGGACTCTAAAGCCAGACTGCCAGGATCAAATCTCAGCTCTTCCACTTCCTAGCTGTATAGAAACTTTAGGTAATTTACTTAATCTCTCTGACCCTTTGTTTCCTTGTCTGTAAAACAGGGATAATAGTACACATACCTCACAGGATTGCTGTAAAGATTCAACAAATTAAAACCTGTAAAAGACTCAGAATAGGACTTGGCATATAGTAATGCTATGTAAGTGTTAGATGTTATTGCCATCCCCTTCTGACTTTTGAAGTTCCTTCAAAATTCTCAGCTCAAAGAATACAACAATGAATGGGACAAATGTTTCTGTAGTGCTGATTATGAAGTATACGTAGCTGTGAAATGAATCAGGTTTTCCCATTGTCAGAGACATTGCAAAACTGGAAATTAATAATTTCATGAAAAATGTTGGCTATAATCACGTTTCTAAAAGAAAAAAACCAGAAATACAGATATAGAAAAATCTAAGGCTGGGCATAGTGGCTCATGCCTGTAATCTCAGCACTTTGGGAGGCCGAGGTGGGTGGATCACCTGAGGTCAGGAGTTCGAGACCAGCCTAGCTAACATGGCTAAACCCCATCTCTACAAAAATACAAAAATTAGCCAGGCACGGTGATGCATACCTGTAGTCACAGCTACTTAAGAGGTTGAGGCAGGAGAATCACTTGAACCTGGGAGGCACAGGTTGCAATAAGCCAAGATCACAACACTGCACTCCAGCCTAGGTGATAGAGCAAAACTCTTTTCTCCAAAAAACAAAACAAAACAAAAACCCACAAATGCTCTAAACTTTGTTATCCCCCTTAAATCACATAAAGGAAAAACAAAAATGATATTATTTTTAGAATACAAATACTATACCAGACCTTATATTTTTGGGGGCCTAGATCCACATGATAGAGTGATGAATCCTGCCTAACTTTAGCAGGATTGATTTCTCTAGGGCAGGATGATTTCTTTTCTGCTCTCAGTTTTTCCTACTCCAAATAAATATCAATTAATGTGAATACACACTATGCTATCCAGTCATAATTAAAATAAAAGTACTCTTCTCATAACACTTGGTATTAATATTTATAAAAACTATTATCTAATATTATGGTCCTCATGTTTAATCCATTATCATTCTCATACTATAATCTTAGAAAAGAAAGGATAAAGAACAGCAAGGCAGTGAGAAGGGGCTATAGAATATTAAATACCTTACCTGAATGTTACTGCTTTCACAAGGAATGACACTGCTTTCAGCAAGAGGTGACATGCACATATGAGAGTTTTCAATACTGAAGGCAATGCCACTCACAAAATCAGTCATGGGTGAACTGCCATTATCAACTGGCTCCTTAATCCAAGTGTTCTCATCTGCTGTCTCTATAGGATCAACCATATCCACAGTGTTATTGTCCTTCTCGATTTCAACATCCTGCAACAGTGCTAATTCTTTCTCAGAAGCACTGGACTGATTTTGTGTAATAGACATGGCAGTCACAACCAAATGCGTGCTGTGTGTAGAAGCCTCACTACTCAACTGTCGTAGGTGTTTTCCAGCAGCATCTATGGCTGGTGATGAGACATCTGCAGAAGGAATATTCTCTTTGTCTTCCTCTTCTTCACCATGTGTCTCAAGAGTAAAAGGTATCTGAATCAGTGAGGTGCAATACTGAGTACCACCTCTATACATCTCGAGGCTCATAGGAGACCAATTTTTAATTGGTGAGCAGCCATCTATATAAGGACTTCTGATACACGGGTTAGTAATCCCATCAGAATTTGTTCCAGATGAAGCATCAGGAGAATGAACAGTAAACTTCCTTTGTTCTGAAAGGTGGGAAGGGGAAAAAGATCACATCATAAAAACGTGAAAATGGAAAAGCCATTACTAAATGGTAATCACGTTTCATGCCAGGAAAAACTGGATTTCTCTAACAGTTGTGGTGTTTGCCAAAGTGAAATTTTTATATCAAAAACAATAGCACAAATGGATGTATCTCAATAAGCAGGATGAACCTCTTCAAAAATAATTTATTTGGCATTTTATCCTTTTTTTTTTTTTTCCTTTGGAGATAGGGTCTCACTCTGTCACCCAGGCTGGAGTGCAGTGGCACAATCACAGCTCACTGCAGCCTTGACTTCCTCAGGCTCAGGTGAGCTTCCCACCTCAGCTTCCCAACTTAGCTGGACCTATAGGCATACCACCATGCCTGACTAATTTTGTTTGTTTGTTTTTGTTTTTTGTAGAGATGGGGTTTCACCATGTTGACCAGGCTGGTCTTGAACTCCTGGGCTCAAGCAATCCACTGGCCTAAGCCTCCCAAAGTGCTGGGATTACAGGTGTGAGCCATCACATCTGGTCACTTTCTCTTTTCTAATTAAATTATTTTACTCACTGAAAATTATTTGCTTATGAGCATACTGCTATTATACTAACAATTGCTCATATACAAGGAAAATCCCTAGCCAATCAGCTGAAACCTACAACTTAACAGCTGTACCTGGTAAATGAAAAATGTAAAAACATATGTGTTTATGTAAAATACAAGCAACATGAAAAAACAAACAAAAAACTGGACAATATCTGCAACAATAAAGAGCCTAACAATGATAATCAAAATGATAAAAATGCTTGAAAACTCTAAAAAATGTTTTTTGTAATTTAATTAGCTTAAAAACAAAAATTTCAAAAATGGACAAAAGCACACAATCTTTCCAATAGTAAACATACATTAGAAAAGTGTTCAGCCGTCTGGGCGCAGTGGCTCATGCCTGTAATCCCAGAACTTTGGGAGGCCAAGGTGGGCAGATCACAAGGTCAAGAGATCGAGACCATCCTGGCCAACATGGTGAAATCCTGTCTCTACTAAAAAATACAAAAATTAGCTGGGCATGGTGGCACCCACCTGTAGTCCCAGCTATTTGGGAGGCTGAGACAGGAGAATTGCTTGAACCCAGGAGGTGGAGGTTGCAGTGAGCCGAGATCGCGCCCCTGCACTCCAGCCTGGTGCCTGGCGAAAGAGCGAGACTCTGTCTCAAAAAAAAAAAAAAAAAAAGTGTTCAGCCACATAAATAATAAAATTATGGAAGTTAAAACAAGGGAAGGCCATTCATTTTATAATAACACGAGTTTGAACCAACAATTCCCCCCAAAAACATAAGTGACAATAAATATTTGGAGAGAGCTCATGTCATTAGTGACCAAAGATACAAAATTTAAAGCAGTGAGATATTTCTGTAATATGCCAAATTTGTAAACATCGAAAATAATACCAGTGTTTCTCGTTGGAAAGAAATGACTTTCTTACAAACTACTGATGAAAATTTCAATTGATACAACCTTTTATGAGGAAAATTTGGCAAAATTCATCAAAAGCCTTTAAAAACATTCACCCTCTTTGACCAAATAAGTTCACTTCTGAGAATTTAACCTGTATGTATAACATCATGCATACATAAGGATAATGATTAATTTCATGATAAAGAAAACTTAGAAAAATTCTAATGTTTATCAATGGTTGAAAACAAATGATGCACTCCTGAAATGTAATATTATATAGCAATTCGAAGTTGTGCTTTGAGACAATTACAAATGACATGAACAACCTATGAAAATACTCACAGAATGCTTTGTGAAAAAAGCAGGATCTAGACCTATCTATCTATCTATATATATGTGAAGACATATATATAACCATATATGTATTTCCATATACATACATGTAAAGACTAGCAAAGTGTACTTTTCGGTTTTCTGAAAAATTTTTTGTACTGAGAAAAATACTGAATAGTTTTCAAAAAGTGCTACAGTTTTTTCAAAGAGAAATTCATGTACTGCAAAGAGACACAGTTTATATTTACTTTAAAAACCTTAATCAAATATACCTTTACAAAAATCTGAATATTACCAGTCCAAACCTACAGGTCAGAAGGCATACGAACACCAAATTGTCTCTAAAATTGCTATATTTCCTTTTGATAGTGTTGGATGTAAATATTGCTAATTAAAGCAACTGCATTTAACACTACAGTGTAACTTGGTTGAGAATTCCAGCCTTTGAAGGTAAATTGTTCTTTTATTTAAAAACTAAAGTTTCTAAATGTTAGGTTAGTGATTATTTGGAGCTCTATCATTAAAACAAATTAAAAGAACCTCTCTAATAACAAATATTGATAGTATAAGACTTTTAACTGGTATTATGCTACATACCTGAGAGTGAGGGCTTTCCTATCTGAAATGCAATTGGTGAGAAAGTGGGTGAAGAAATAGGTGAAGGACTAGTTACGCTTCCCAAGCTGTATCTTTTTGCACTAGCCTGAATAGGGCTAGAAGAAAACTGCCCCTGTAATAAAATTAAATAGTAAATAAATTTATATCATTCTCTTTCTTAACTCTTACACTGCATGCTATTCATCATGGCTTTCAAGACACATTTATAAACTAGGACTAGTTCCCAAGAACCACCAAAAGACACCCTGTAACAAAGAAAACTAAGAAGATTGCCACAAAAATTCTGAAATAGTGTAGAACATTAGTCAAAATATAAACACATTGTATTTGAACAAACCATTAAGTTTCACAGTAAGCAATCATCTGTGAAAAATTTTTAAATAATTTACTCTATTAAACCAAGCCAGTTGTATTATATGTAAATGTCACATACTTTAGTAGATAACCTAAAGGCTCATGATAAATGTGATCATCCTATACATATCTAAATACAAACTTGGAGAGTCTGACCTAAAACATTCCTGTGACTAATGACAACATATGAACTAGAGTTAGTCTTTGTGAAGCATTATACCCAAGACAACCATCCCTCCCTGTGAAAGCAATCTGGGCAGCTCGTCCAACAACATCTCCCAGGGGTGTCCAAGGGAGAGAATACAGTCATGCGTTCTTAGTTTCTCTTTCTGGTCAGGCCAGGAAGGCCCTTCCTTATCCCTTTTTTCCACTTATTACCAAGAGTGAAAACCAAAAACCATGGCTTCAGGCTGCGGAAAGCCTAAGACAGAACAACAACAAAATAATGTGGGTTGGAAAAACTTGAAAGCAAATCAGCCAACTGTTTTTCAGTATCCTTCTCACCGAACTTGGTGTCTGCAAGGGGCTCCTACACTTTACAGGAGACAAATCTATTGAATAAAATATCTCAAGTGATGTTTGAGCGCCACTATGAGGACTTCTGGGAGAAGCTGAAGGTAATGAGTCGGAGATGCTTCCGTTCCCATCCAAAAACAGCTTTCTTCTGAGGGATGAAGAACTGAGGTTTCCAGGAGATTGATCTGCAAATTCATCAGCTTTAAAATAGTCACCTGTATTTAATAACAGAGCTAGTCATTTTAAAGAGCAACTATACTTCTGTCACTCAACTTTTAAAAAGCCATCATGCACTGCATGTTTGAATTTTTTTCCCAAAAAGAGGGCAAAGTTTAATTGCATATGTGATGTTTTAACTCTTAAATTATTCCTTAGTTTTTAGTGCTACATTGTTAGTATAAGGAATGCCAAGAAAATGTTTATAGTTTCTGTCTACAGTAATAAAGTTCATTATGATAATAAGACTAATTCAAATCATGTTTAAGAAAAAGAGAAATTTCAGGACAGTTTCCCTACCACATATTTCCCATATTACCATTTACAAAAAGCCAGCCAAACAAAACCTTTGGTTTAAGTTATTAGAGGTTTAAACAAATACGGTATTTACCTAATATATTTTCTAAATTAAAATCCACAGGAAGAGACAGCAATGTCTGACAAGCAGCTGGAAACAAGCAAACAAATAAATAGATTCAAACATGGGATAAATCAATGAAAGTATACGATACGCAATTCAGCATGTGCTACCTAAGTCAACCATCTCCCCGTGATGTTCCAGCCAAGCAAAGTATTCCATTTCTGCATTCTATTACATACCCTGTCACCTTTCTAGAAGTGGTTTCCCACACTCTCCGCCACTGGTGTAAACATGTTAATAGTAAAAGTTAACTCCTGGGTCTGGTACTGGCACTTGAAAAGGAAGCCAGCCTATATTTGGGGGGAGATTCATTTTAACCAATTTTCAAAAGAATGCTTTCCCTCAGAATTCAGAAACTAACTCAGAACTGCACAACATCATGGGAAAAAAAACAAAAGAATGCTTTCCAAGACCAGAAATCCATTCACATGCTTTCAACAAGAAAACAAAACACTGTTGCTATTTCTAAAACATGCTGGATGCATCTGTTCTACTATACTTGTGTTTAAAGGTCAGCACTCATATGGTTATTACGTAGCTCATTCAAAAAATGCAAATGGACCAGGCTTGGTGGCTCACGCCTGTAATCCTAGCACTTTGGGAGGCCAAGGTGGGCAGATCGCTTGAGCCCAGGAGTTTGAGACATGTCTGGGCAACATGGCGAAACCCTGTCTCTACAAAAAATACAAAAATTAGCCAGGTGTGGGGGCTGGTGCCTATAGACCTAGCTACTGAGGAGGCTGAGGTGGGAGGATCACGTGAGCTTGGGAGGTCAAGGTTGCAGTGAACTCTTGATTGTGCCACTGCACTCCAGCTTGGGTGACAGAGTGAGACCCTGTCTCAAAAAAATAAAAATAAAAGTAAATTCTTAAAAAATGCAAACAGTTTCCAGAGTAAAGTGTTACTACCTGAACTTGGTTTAGAATCAAATGTAGCTTAATACGGAACATACTTCTTTTCAAATTGTGTTCATACTCACCATTGCTTTTCTCAGAATGAATGGTCAGCTTTTTTCCAGTTGGAGAGTCACTATTTATGTTAGTGCCTGTAAAACATTGTAAGTGAAAAATGTTACGTTTTATACTTTTCATTTGCTTCAGCATTACTTTTTCCAGAGTAAAAAATTAAGACAGAGAAAACTTTTATTTTGTTACATTAAAAAAAAAATCTGCATCTATAAGTAGATATTTTGGGATGTTTCTCTTATTTTTTTTACCTTTGAGGGAATACAAGGATAAGACTAAATAAAGGATTACCACAGCAAATAAGGAGGCACCAAGTAATACTTATTTTTTTAACATTTTTCTCTAAATAATAAATAATTGTATATATTTATAGGGTACAATGTGATGTTTCAATACATGTATACACTGTGACAAGAGCAAATCAGGCTAATTTACTATCCATTGCCTCAAATACTTTCATTTCTTTGTGGTGGGAACATTTAAAATCCACTTTCAGCAATTTTAAATATAGAACACCTCGTTATCAGCTATACATCACCAGAACTTATTCTTCCTGTCTCACTGAAACCTCATACCCTTTAACCAACATCTCCCCCAAGACCCCTCTTCCCTACTGTCTGGTAACCACCACTCTCTTCTTTACTTCTAAGAATCTGACTTTTTAAGATTCCAAATATAAGTGAAATAATTCAGTATTTGTCCTTCTGTGCCTGGCTTTTCTCACCTAGTATAATGTCCTCTACATTCATATATGTTGTCACAAATGACAAAATTTCCTTTGTTAAGGCAGAATAGTATTCCATGTGTATATATACCACATTTTAAAAATCCATTCATCTGTTGATGGACTCTTAGGTTGATTCCATATCATGGCTGTTGTAACTAATGACGTAGCAATGAATATGAGAGTGCAGACATCTCTTTGAAATCCTAATTTCAGTTCCTCTGGATATATATCCAGTAGTAGAGCTGATGAATCCCAAAGTAATATTTTTTTTTAAGGAAATGATGGCTACTCTTCATGATGTCAACCTTAAAAGGTTAGGGATACCTCTTAGCTATCCTCAATGTCCTCAACAGTTAAAATGCCAGATTATTTTGACAAAACCTGAAACTTGATCAATAACAACACCATAAGTTTCTTTCACAACAGGAGTCAAAAATAAGGGTGCAAATTATTTTAACTCTAAAGTTTTATAAGTTGAAAAACCACCAGATTAAAAAAACTCAAAAACTAAAATAATGACAAAAAAGACTAACATAAGCAAGATAAAAGGGAAGAAAAAGCAAGGGGACCAAATAAACCTCCCCCCCAAAACCAGAAACAACTCAGGAATTCTAAAATAAAATGACAAGATAGAGTATAGTAATCTAATAATCCTAAATTTTAAAATAGCTAAGTGGATTGCTGAATAAATTAAACTTCCCTGTGAAATACTATCAAAATGGGTAAATAAATACAATTTTGGACTCAGATGCCTTCTTCACTGCAGGCAGAGTGGCCTTCTATAAGGCAGATGTAATCAATACTCTCTCTGCCTAAAACCCTGTAAGTCTTTAGGATAAAATCCGAATGCTTCATTGGCTTACAAAGCCCTTCAAAACCATGTTTATTTCTCTAACATGGTTGCCATCTAACTAAATATTATTTGAGTACCTAAAACAAACAAACAAGAAACAGGTATCTCTCTCATCTCTAGGTATTATCTTATGCTATCTCCTCCCTGGCTTTTCTCCCCGGAATTCCAAGCGTCTAACTTAAACTTCATCTTCTGGCAGCATGCCTCCCCTGCCCTCCTCAGGCCAGACACCTACAGCAACACTATCACAACACTTTTCAACTCCATTCCAAGTATTTTGGTTGTTTCCCCTAGAAGGGCTCAGACAAGTTTAAGACCACAATCAAATGAGGGAAAAAAAAGAGACGGATTTGATTACACCAAAGTAAGAATTTCCTTGCAATTCAGGATATCAAGAACAAACATTAACATACATATGACAGAATGGGAGACAACATTCGAAATGTTTAAGACCAATTTCATCACAATACGTAAGTTATCTTAGGAGTTAATGGGGGAAAACAAAGGATAGCAACTCTAATTAGAACATATTAACGAATTACAAATAGGCATTTTCTAGGAGATGAAATTAAAAGGCCATTAGTATATGAAGACAAAAAGAAAACTGAAACAATCATTTAGAATGTCAAATAACCTATAAGAAAGGCAAAGATGTAAAAGCTGGCTAATGCCAAGGGCAGGCAGGGATGCTGGGACACAGGACCCTAGGCACTGTGGGGGCTGTGCAGACAACCTAGGGAGCATCCTAATATTGTGTAGTCAGATTAGGTAAAGATACATTCTGTAACTCAGAAATCCTCTACCTGAGTATATATCCCAGGGAAATTCTCACTCAAGTCCATAAATGAAAACACATGAGGATATGTGCTGAAATGTTTACTATGATAAATATTTATGCTTGCTGCATAAATGTTTATGATAGTAAAAGCTAACAGCACAAGCTAACATGTATAAACAAAACCACTTTTCCCCTCATTCATCATTTTCTTTGTTAACCCTTAGGTAAATAACTACTTACTATGTGCCAGGTACATGATCTTAGATCATAACCATAATAACCATCATTTTATAGATAAGGAAACTGAGGCACAGAAAAGCTAAGTAACTCACCTACAGTCACACAGCTAGTGAGCTTTACTGGGTACAATTCAAACTCAGATAATATTACACTAGAGTAAGGGTCAGCAAACTATGGTTCATGGCACAAATCTGGCCTGTCACCTGGTTTTGTTAATACAGTTTTACTGGTTCACGCTCACACTCATTTACATATTGTTACCGGCTGCTTTTGTGGTATAGCAGTAGAGTTGAATGGTTCTCACAGAGACTGTGTGGTCAGTAAAGGCTTAAATATTTATTATTGGGTCCTTTACAGATAAGGGCTGCCAACCTTGGCCCTAAAGTAGCATCTAATAGAACTTTTTCTGTGACGATGCAAACGTTCTCTACACTACCTGATATACACATGGCTATTGGGCACCTGAAATATGAACATGGTGAACGGGAAACTCTATTTTTAAATTTAACTTTAATCAGTCATACATGGCCACATCTGTCAAGAACTATGAAGGGTCTAAGATTTTACCCAACTTGCCAGCTAACAAGTAGTGAACATGACGAAGTTCCGTGGGTACTAGCTAAAGACATGAGGCTTCTGGGGGCAAAGACAAAGGACTGCATTATTTTCAGCACAGCAGGCAGCATGCATTTAACGTTCCTATCAGTTCCCCTGGCCCCCAAGTGCCAAGAAGGTGACCTGAAACAGCCCAGTGCAGTGAATTATTATAATTTTGCATACAAGTTGGACTTCATCATACCAAAAGCAGGGTTCATTCAACCTTGACACAGTTTCCAATTCTATACCTCTTTGTGGTTGATCCAGATATCTGCCTTCTATAAATCCCTCCTGGTAACCACCTCCCTATGGGACAGCTACATACGGCCTACCTGACTGTCCCCCCGACCCTCATACCTGATATGGATTACACAGACATACCGCAGTGACTACCTCTCAGTCACTGTGTGACCTCCTCAATGCATGCCTGCTTGCTTTAAACCCACCAACTAAAACTCTGTTTGGATAATGCCCTGGACTTGATAAAGGCATTGGCCCATGGGTCCCTTTCTCTCACTGACCTCCATGAGTGGTGTTCAGGCATGCTGTGTACCCCCAGGACTTGTAAGTAATAAAATTTTTATCTCCATCTGTGTCTCTCCTAATCATGGGAGGAGTGCTATCTTACAAGATTCCAAATTAAAATACCCAGGTGGCTGGTGGACACACAATGGGTTTTCACCACAGCTCAGAAACCCCAAGCTTAGGAAATCTCTTTTATAAGAGACTGCAAACAAATCTACTCCAGAGGGAGACATCATCTTTATCACCCTGGAGAACAAAACAAACTACCCTCGGCTCTGGTAGCACACACTATCTCTACCTTCCAAGGATGTTCACAAGACAAACACTCTTGAGAAGATAGTTTGGAACAGAACCTGTCCATGCCACTCCATGAAAGGTGTGCAGAAATGTGTGAGGTCGATGGAGCACTGTCTCCCAACGACACAGGAAACAGCACAGCTCTGAAGCCCAGCCTCTTAACCATTGCACTGTTAGCATGGGCTGGATTTGGATTCAGTCTATGTATTTTTAACTAAAACAGGATGCTTGGAATACAAAATGTTATCAAAAAAAATCACTTAAGAAGGTTGATTCATTTGTTGAAAAAATCCAACAGTAAAGAATTTGGGGGTGAAAAACTATTATCTATGAGAATGTTACCTTGAACACACAATTTTGGAGCTAGGAGGGTTGTAAATGGACAACTCTAGTTCAATCCTTTGATCTTACAAATAAAAGACTGAGGTACAAAGAGATTGAATAATTTGATAAAGGTCACCTCTCTGGTTTATAAAAGTAGGAAGTTTTACAATCCAGATTTCCATCTACTATTGCACGCTACCATTAATTCAAAATGGCTAAGAATACAGCATCTGATTTGAGGATGCCTAATTTTGAATCCAAGTTGTCCCACTTTTATAATCTCTGTAACCCTGGACAAATGCTCTCACCTTTCTAAAACTAGGTTTTCTTACCTGAAAAATGAGGCCAATAATTGTACCTACTTCATATAAGATATTACTGAAAGCACTTAGCACTGTCCAGGCATATAGAAAGTACTGATCCAGCTTACCTATTATTGTTGTATTATTATGTGGTGTTTTTGATAAAGAATGGAACAAATATGCTCTCTTACACTGAAAGCACAGTTCAGGTGGACTACAATATAAAGTGTAATTCCACTGTAATCAGGGATGCATATATACAAGCAATGCCTGAATACTGCCTCACAACCCAAAGAGCAGTGACAGCAAATATAAGACAGTCATTGCCTGGAGGAAGAAAGGTATTTGATAGATTACTGGCTGGTCCTTTAATTTCCTTATTAATTTAGCGGATACTCAGCAATAATACACTGTCCCAGAGGTCATATTAAGTCTTCATCCTTTCTTTACCTTTATGAGAAATCAGCAAATTAGTAAAAGGCAACACAATTTAGGATTTTATTTAAAATATTAACCTTCAAAATACTGCTAAAGTCATTAACAACTCATCTGTATATTCAACACAAACTATTTCTTCATCTATGGATCCTCTATAACCATCATTGTAACTGACATTCACAATAGTCACGAAGAAAAAGTTAAATTCAGAATAGAATAGCTAAAAAGAAAAAAAAATTCAATAAATATCAGTCAAATTTTTAATTCTAATTCTAAAAGGAGTTAAATTCTGTTATCGAGAATTTTAAAGCAAGCTCCTTACAAAGCAGATATACTGACACTTCATGATATGTTGCTTTATATCCACCGATTTATTTTTATTTATATCATTTTTAGTACACTCACATTTACTGGAATGATATTGTGAAAGCTGTTTCCCTTCATGATCAGTCCAAGGAGAAGGTACGATGACATCTTTAGTGAAAAACTAGGAAAATTAAAGTCATACAATTAGGCATAAATTCCACCCAAAATGTGAGAAGGTACCTGTGTTATTTCCAAATAACTATTAAACATGTCATATACTAACTTTATAATTATATGCAAAATTTTTAATACTTAAAAGCACAAATGACCAAAGGAAAAACGGAAGAAATTTAAAGTATATTTAAAGAAGAATCTTAATACTTCAAATCAACTAGTCATATTTGAAACTTGCAAATGAAACTAAGAGCATTAATCACAAAGTATTTTAAATTTCTTTCTCAGGTTTGTTTGGTGGGGTTACAAAAAGGAGGATGAAAAGGGACGGAATATATTAAGACAGATATGCAAGTAAGCCAGTATGAATGGTGGCACTGGAGCTGGCTTGCTTGTTCTGGCTCTAAAGATCTGATCATTGAATTTTCAAGAATTCTGTGCACCAGTTGTTAAAAGCGATATTAAAAATAAAATTATGTAAACTTACAATTAAATAAATTATATTAAAAAGAAAGATAAATATTCAAAACTCACCACTTGCTAATTATTTTATACATTTACTATTCTTCCTTTTCTATTCATTGATGACACATCAGTAGCTTGAAATTGGCCATGGTTGGAGTACTTACTATAGATAGCAGCAGTCACTATAAATCATACTCCTTCCACAATCAGAGAGCCAGTTAAACATTTACCACTACACTTCTGGCCAGTATATTCAAATGGAGATAGAGCATTGAGATACATTTCTTTTCTCTTTCATTTCTGACACAGTATTTTCCCTTCGCTCTGTTTTACAGGTAACCAAAAACATCTTTACATTTTGCTACACATATGACTAACAGCTAATTTTCTTAAATGAACTACCCATGAATCTATGAGGAAAATATTTTTTTTTAAAAAATGTGGACTGAGGCAGATATAGACAATTACCAGAAAAAAATTAAAAGACCTATAAACTTAGGAAGTGATGTATAAGTTCACACAAAAGTAAAGAAATCCGGCCGGGCGCAGTGGCTCAAGCCTGTAATCCCAGCACTTTGGGAGGCCAAGGCGGGTGGATCACGAGGTCAAGAGATTGAGACCATCCTGGTCAACATGGTGAAACCCCGTATCTACTAAAAATACAAAAAATTAGCTGGGCATGGTGGCGCATGCCTGTAATCCCAGCTACTCAGGAGGCTGAGGCAGGAGAATTGCCTGAACCCAAGAGGCAGAGGTTGAGGTGAGCCGAGATCGCGCCATTGCACTCCAGCCTGGGTAACAAGAGCGAGACTCTGTCTCAAAAAAAAAAAAAAAAAAAAGGAAAGAAATACAAATACAAAAATGTCATTTTTAAAGTAATAAGAGTAGAATTAAGAACTCTGATAATAATCAATATTGGAGATATGGAAAGTCAAGCAGTGTCATCCTGTAATCAGGAGTATAAATTGGTATAACCTTTTAGGAGGGCAATATGGTTAAATCTACCAAAACTGAAAATTCATAAAGCTTCTGACTTAGTAAGTCCATTTCAAGAACATAAAGAGGTATGTACAAATCACTGCAGCATTATTTGTGACAGAAGAATAATGAACACAATTTAAATATCTGTCAACAGGGGCTAGGTTACTATGCTGTTACTAAGAGAATGTAAAAATCTGTATATGTTGGATATCAAAAAATTTCTAAGAAAAATCATTAGGCAAGGCCAGGCGTGGTGGCTCACGCCTGTAATCCCAGCACTTTGGGAGCCTGAGGCGGGTGGCTCACTAGGTCAAGAGTTCAAGACCATCCTGGTCAACATGGTGAAACCCCGACTCTACTAAAAATACAAAAATTAGCTGGGCATGGTGGTGCATGCCTGTAGTCCCAGCTACTTGGGAGGCTGAGGCAGAATTGCCTGAACCCAGGAGGCAGAGGTTGTGGTGAGCAGAGATTGCGCCATTGCACTCCAGCCTGGGTAACAAGAGCAAAACTCCATCTCAAAAAAAAAAAAAAAAAGAAAAAAGAAAAATCATTAGGCAAAAAAAGCAGGATGCAGTATGAGAATGATAATCCTATCTGTCAAAAATATTTTAAGGACATAGGCTATTAAATATATAAAATTAATCTGAAGGTATACATAAGAAATGTTACAGTCATTTCTTCACAAAGTGGGATGGGGAAACAGAAGGTTTTTTGATATTTTTTTTTGTTTTTACTATGTACATAATTTAGTATATTTTCAAAAACATATATTGAAATGAAACAGATTTTCTTTATGTTCTTAAGTTTACCTGCTGGGTTTCCCTTTAAAATTAAAGATTCTTAAAGAAATCATTTTTCCAAAATGTTGGAAATTTGGAGAGTCTGAGAATATTCAGCTGGGGAGGAACTCAGTGATTGAGTCAAAATGAAAACTGTGCAGTTACTAGATAGATAAAGAAGTAGGTAATGTTTGGCAGGAGTAAATATAGTCTTTTGGGATACAGAAGAACCAGTATGGCTAGAAATCAGAGGCGGGTAGAGGGGGCTAGAGAGGTAGAAAAGGAAAAATCAGAAATGCCTCCATCAAATAGAGACTTTCTGAGGAAACAACTAAGTAAATAACCCTTACTTAGAGGCTGGGCTAGGAGCGGTGGCGCACACCTGTAATCCCAACAGTTTGGGAGGCTGAGGCAGGAGGATCACCTGAGGTTGGAAATTTGAGACCAGCCTGATCAACATGGAGAAACCCCATCTCCACTAAATATACAAAATTAGCCAGGCTTGGTGGTGCACGCCTGTAATCCCAGCTGCTCAGGAGGCTGAGGCAGGAGAATCACTTGAACCCAGGAGGTGGAAGTTGTGGTGAGCCAAGATAGCACCACTGCACTCCAGCCTGGGCAACAAGAGCGAAACACCATCTCAAAAAATAATAATAATAAACAATAAAAAATTTTTAAAACCCTTACTTAGATGCTAAGGGAGGCAGTTCAACAGACCAAAAAAAAAGCAAAAAACTTAATTACTTTTCTTTTGGAAAAAACCTAAATTATGATATACCTTTCCTATTTAAAAGTAAGAGATTTTATTTCATGAATATCTTAAAAATCCAAAGTATTAAAAACAAAAGATAATGTCATTCTCAATGCCAATCTAGACTCTGATGGCCTGAGAATATTCGACTTCCTCTACATAAACTCCAACTTGAAACAAAGTTTGTGCTCATCAATATTTTGAAGGCACAAGGAAGACAAATTGTGCTAGGTCCTGAGAATGAAAAGATGAAGTACAGTATTGTCCAAAAAAACAATTGAGTCTAGGGGAGAGAAACACTCAACTGATGATTACCATACGATACAAGTACTATGGAAGGCACTGGGATGGCTGAAAATTATTGGCTTAGGGCAGCACAGAAGGGTGCTTTATGTAGTTGGGGCTGGGAAAGGTTTGGTAGGGAAATGGGACAGTGAAGGATTTGAAGAAAATCTTCCTAAAGGAAGTGACACACATGCACTGGTTTAATGATCAGTAACAGTTTTAAGTTACCTCTTCAATGGCTTTTTGTCTTTTGTCTTCCACATCTTTATCTATTCTATACAAAGATAAAGAAGAAAAATAACCATGCTATTACTTAAGCTTATTGAACATTTAAAATAATAACCTTTCAAAGAAATAATCTCTGTCCATTGAAAACTGGCAAATGTTAGGCTCACTTTATAATAAATACTGGTGGTATCTTGTAACATTTGGTAAATGGCAGTATTCTGAGATTCAGCCTTAGCTGTTAGGCTTACCTCCCTCTTTTCCATTCAAAGTTTGAATGGAATGATACTTTACTTCAAAACACTTACACTGGTATCATTTTAAATTGCGGTGGCTCACGCCTGTAATCCCAGCACTTCGGGAGGCCAAGGCAGGTGGATCACGAGGTCAAGAAATCGAGACCACCCTGGTCAACATAGTGAAACCCCGTCTCTACTAAAAATACCAAAAAAAAAATTAGCTGGGCATGGTGGCGCGCGCCTGTAATCCCAGCTACTCAGGAGGCTGAGGCAGGGGAATTGCCTGAACCCAGAAGGCGGAGGTTGCGGTGAGCCAAGATTGCGCCATTGCACTCCAGCCTGGGTAACAAGAGTGAAACTCCGTCTCAAAAAAAAAAAAAAAAGAATATAAATTTGATAAATTTTGTCTCTTAATACGAATTAAGCAGTATTTAATTCAACATATATCTAAAAATCGTCCATGTTTTTTCTCTTAATTTATAACAAGTTTATCATGGTAATAATTTTAGAATCAACTTTTACTGTAAAATAGGATAGTTATCACAGTTCTGAACAGTCAAAAATATTAAATCTGAAATAAAACATTCACAATATATTTTGTCGAAATGAATTTTTTTCACTTTGAATATGCAATTACCACAACATAAATTTCTCAGCTACAAGATTTAATATAAAATGCCAGGTCACAAACACAAAGCATATACTTGCCAAGGACTGAGTAGTTAGCCTTGTAGGATCACTTCTTTATTCCATTATAGGAAAGAATGCTTGCTTTCCATCAGTAAATTTTTTTTTTACAATTTAAAACTACTTTGTCTCAGAATTTTTTCTTTACCTTTTATTTTAAGTTCAGGGGTACAAGTGCAGGTTTATTACACAGGTAAACTCGTATCATGGGGGTTTGTTATGTAGATTATTTCATCACCCAGGTATTAAGCCTAGTATCCAACAGTTATCTTTCCTGATCTCTCTCCTCCCACCCTTCACCCTCCAAAAGGCCCCAGTGTGTGGTGTTCCCCTCTATGTGTCCACGTGCTCTCATCACTTAGCTCCCACTTATAAGTGAGAACATGAGGTATTTGGTTTTCTGTTCCTGTGTTAGTTTCCTAGGAATAATGGCCTCCAGCTCCATCCACGTATATGGAAAGGACACGATCTCATTCTTTTTGTGGCCACATAGTTTTCCAGGATGCGAATTTTTTTCACATATAGATTTGCTCATAAAGCTTATGTGAGAATGCACACATTTCAGAAATTAAATTAAGTAGATTTTTCAAGTGGGAGACTTCTGAGAAAATAAACTACAGTGTCAACCCCCATATCCCAGCTTGAACAGTATCCATTTTCAGGATAACAACTCACTTCTGGTTCATCTTATCATGGTCTTAACCAGGTCAAAATGGCAGCACATAGTAAGTTTAGCAAATAGCAAGTAAGCTCTGAACTAGGGTTACTACATTCAGGAACCTTTTGCTACTTCATCAGAGGGACTTCAAGAACCTCAATAGTCAGGTGATTGCTGGAAGCAGTAAAAATCAGTGTGGCCAAATATTCTAGAGTCAGATCAAAGAAGTCATACGGGGAGAGCATCCTGACCAGCATATCACTGAACACCAATATGATGCATACAGGTGCAGATGTGATCTGAATATTCAGCCTTTGCAAGGTGGCAAAGGAGAGGGGACCTCAGGACTGGTCACCTACATAGCTAAGACTCACTTTTAACTAGTATGCTTTACAGTTATCATTTTCTGTGTGGATGGTAGCATGAAAAGTATGGGAAGAATTGAAGTACAGAGCTGAGATGTAAGAAGAGATACTAAAAGACATTGCTTGTTTCAAAGGATGAATCAAGACACTCTGTTAAGAATATATTGACTATTCTTGGTAGAAGCCATAACCATTCATTAAATTATATTAACAAATTAAATTAGATTATTTTCCCACTGTTTTCCCCTCTTCTATATCATAAATCTACGAACTGAGAGACACCAAGATTATCTTTACAAACCTTTGCAGACAATATATCATTTAGCATTAAGTACAGAGGCATTGTGTTACAACTTTGGTCTAATAATTATTTTTTTGAGACAGAGTTTCGCTCTTGTTTACCCAGGCTGGAGTGCAATGGCACGATCTCGGCTCACCGCAACCTCTGCCTCCTGGGTCCAGGCGATTCTCCTGCCTCAGCCTCCTGAGCAGCTGGGACTACAGGTACGCGCCACTATGCCCAGCTAACTTTTTGTATTTTTAGTAGATATGGGGTTTCACCATGTTGACCAGGATGGTCTCGATCTCTTGACCTCGTGATCCACCCACCTTGGCCTCCCAAAGTGCTGGGATTACAGGCGTGAGCCACCACGCCCGGCTGGTCTAATCATTATTGACTCTTGACTCTTAATATCCTGCACCTCTTCAGTGTTTCTTACAGTCCCTCAAAGTATTCAATAAAAATCTCTCAACTGATAAATGTAATAGTTGTCCATCATTCAATATATTGAAGAAATCAGACAAAATAATTAAGCATAATAAAGTTTGTGTGAAACAAAAAAATTAACCACTAACTGACTCATTTGCTTTTTGCTTTTAGATACTCTTCTCGCCGCCTTCTCTTTTATTTATTTATTTATTTATTTATTTATTTTTGAGATGGAGTCTTGCTCTGTTGTCCAGGCTACAGTGCAATGGCACCATCGCAGCTCACTGCAACCTTTGCCTCTGGGTTCAAGTAATTCTCCCGCCTCAGCCTCCCAAGTAGCTAGGATTACTGGTGTGCACCACCATACCCAGCTAATCTTTTTGTATGTTTAGTAGAGATGTGGTTTCACCATGTTGGCCAGGCTGGTCTTCAACTCATGACCTCAAGTTATCTGCATGCCTCAGCCTCCCAAAGTGCTGGGATTACAGGTATGAGCCACCACGCCCAGCCTCAAAGGTATTACTTAAATTTAAGTTAAAATCCTTTCATGCTTTATCCTCATTATAGACCCTTCCTATTAACACTATATCTGGATGGACATTAATTTTATGAGTGAATGATCATCATGTTACCAAGGAAAGAGAAGATGGAAGAGAAAAGCCACTAAGTATTTACCAGAACATCTCAATATGTAGGCAACTTTCTGCAACTGAATTCTAAAGTCAAAGGGAAAAGGATTATCCTTTGTTTTGGAGTAACAACATGTCTACCTTAGGACAGCAAGTTAAAATCTGGTCATACTACGTATTTGATTTTTTTCAAATATTAAAAAATCAGACTATAAAACATATCAACAAAAGAGTCCTTAAAACCAAAAAAGAATAATATGTCTTTATACTTTGTAATAAAAAACTAAATGTGCAGTACATTCATGCCTTGAAACCTAAACAACACATCAACAATAAGACTGCACTGGGTGATACGCAGAATTATAGAAAATGTAATTCACAGCCCAAGTGAATTGTTAGTTGGATGATATCTACAAAACTTCTCTGTTGCTAATGGATACCCTTCCACTCAATGTATACTTAACTCTTTAAGGGGATTTTAGGCTTCCCCAAACATAGACAACAATGAAACAGCATTTTTCTTCACCCCAGACCATCAAAAAGACAGACTACAAGTCCATGGTAGAAGCCACAACCATGTAGAAAAGTGCAAATTTCAAAATGCTCTTCCCTTTACTGAGTGCTAAGGGTGCAGAGCTGTCCCCCTGAGTAGCAGGGGGAATAGGTTATCTGTCAAAGATAAAGGTATCTACCCAGACCTGGAACTGTTGGCAAGAAAATCTTTCTGAACGTAGTTCTTTGAACTAATTCATTTAGATAGGAAAAATATGCATCAAAATTTTTTCTCCCTGATATCTTTACACAGAGAAAGACTCAACATTTAGAATGTCCTACCTCTCTTCACTTGAGAGTGTTATTACCCTTAGGTGGTAGAAAGGAAAACTTACCGAGAATGACTTAAGTATAAAGCTTGACGATGAATATCTTCTGGGTCTATTTCTACAGGATTTATTACAGCTAGTTGATCAATAGACCATCTAAATTTCCCTGGAGTCTTAACAAAAGAAAGTGAGCTTATGAGTAAAGGCAAACTAAAATAGTTCATCAAAATGCTAACCAATGTAAGAAATAATATGAATGGTTATAATACTAAAATATTTTAAAGCTTATATTTTAAAATTTGACTTTACCATGAAATTAAATGGCAAAGGGTAATCATATCACATTAGATCAACTGACTTAATTGTATGTCTCTCTCTCTCATTTTTTTCAAGACAGAGTCTTGTTCTGTCACCCAGGCTGGAGTGCGGTGGTGCAATCTCAGCTCACTGCAACCTCCACCTCCTAGATTCAAGTGATTGTACTGCCTCAGCCTCCCGATAGCTGGGATTACAGGCGTCTGTCACCACGCCCAGCTAATTTTTGCATTTTTTTTTTTTTTTTTTTTAGTAGAGACAGGGTTTTACCAGGTTGACCAGGCTGGTCTCAAACTCCTGACCTCAAATGATTGGCCCACCTTGGCCTCCCAAAGTGCTGGGATTACAGGCGTGAGCCATGGCGCCCGCCTGTGTCTCTTAAAATATCAAAATCTTTCCCTGGGTTGGAATTACTTAATACTAGAAAAATCACAACACAGTAATAAAGGCATAAAACTTTCACAATTAACACTCATCAGTGTGATACACTAAGCCCATATAAAAGGAAAAATCTTTTGGAGTTATCAAAGGTCTTTACTTTCATTAAGAAGGAACTGAAATTAAATGAAGTCCTTAGTTAGGACTTGGAGATGGCTGCAAAAGTTCATAACATAGTTGATCCTTAAAATAATTATGATGGCAACCAGTGCTGCCTTTCTGTATTCAACCATCCGACTGAATCAAAGGTTTATCCAAATCCTAATCTGTAATTAGAAGTATATTCTAGACAAATTCAGTCCTAAAAACACAAGATGTCATACATTCCAAATTTGAGGATTAAGTTGCCATCAATCCATTATTTATTTTTAGTAAGACTAAGAGATTAATTTTAATATGATTCAATTAAAAATCACAAGATCAGATTGATGAAATGACAATATAAACTGCTCGATCTTCCACTAGTACATACCTGCTCATTGTAAAACCTAAATGAAAGTATAGTAGAAACAGCCACTTTGTTTTTCTAAGTAACTTAGCAGGTTGAATTCTAATATCATGAAGAATACTTTTCCTTCATATTACTATTGTGCTAAGCACTAATCACAGCACCTATCACACTATCTGGACATTACTCATCTGGTTGTATCTAACACATTAAAATAGGGGTTAGTTTCTTTTTATAATAGCAAGCTAAGAATTATTTTGACAGTTTTAAATGGTTGGAAAGAAACAAAAAAATATAATATGTTGTGACATGTGAAAATTATATGAAATTCCAATGTGTCCATAAAAAAAGCTCTATTGGAACATAGTAACATTATCTCTTTACACACTGCCTATGGCTGCTTTTGTGATACAAGACAGAAGTGAGTATTTGTGACAATGACCAAATGACCTGTAGAGCTTAAATATTTACTGTCTGGCTCCTGACAGAAAATTTGCTGACCCCTACACTGGAATATAATCTCCTTACAGATTTGTGTCTAATGATCCTAACTTGTTCACAGTGTAATCCCTGTGCTTAGCACTGTATCTGACATATAGCAACACTCAAATAATGTTTGCCAAGTAAGAACAGAAAATTAGATGATGCAGCTTCTTCTCTAATGTATTAGTACCTACACCCACAACTGCAGGAAGCTAACATATATTGTTCTTTAACTTAAAAAAATTTAAAAAATCTTCTAGCTAACTTACTAACCTAACCACTCGATTATAATGAATACCAAAATTTTGAAAAGTATATTGCAGCTATATATGCTCCATAATGTATTTCCTCCTTATTTTGTAAAGAAAGATGTTTGCATTTAAAATTATTTGTAATTATTTACATTTCAAATTAGCTGTAAACACTAGTCAGGAATAACTTACTGGTATTTTTGTTGATTTAAAAACAGAAGGACTGGCGAGAGTTTGTTCATGGAGATTAGAATAATCACTAGGACTTTCAAAAGGATTTAAAACAGGGATCCTTCCTGGAGTTTCTGGTGTTATTTGCATTTTTGATTCCTTGACATCTCCCATAGCACAAAGAGGAAACTAAAAAGAAATCGAGTATGCATGTTAAAATTACCGAGTCCTATAGATATTAACTATTAAAATGTATTCGACAAACACATGTGTCACAAAAACAACTCAAAACTTAACACTATTGAGGCTATGTTAGAGCTTACAAAAAAAGTATCACAAATTTTCTCAAGTGATCCTCAAAATAACCTTGGAAGCTACAGCAGTAAGTTATTAGTGATATCATTTTGCGAAAGAATTAATAAGCTCAGAGAAGTGTAGTGGCTTATACACAGCAGTCAACAAATATGAATGAGTTCAGATCTGCCGTGAGTTCAGAGACTGTACAACCCTACGCCGCCACTCTTTCTGGTGCCCCTCTCTTCCACACCTACTTCCTGAGGCAACTAAAGGTTACAAGAGGCAAGATCTCTTCTCAACTGAAGGACTTATATCTACAATTTTTTTTTAATTCATCATCTCATGTCTCAACACTGTGAACATCCTTCGGATACCCTATCCAGCTACAGTTGCTATTAAACAGTTGTTTGTAGGAAGCAGGTAAGAGATGAGGAAGCTTGTGCTGAGTTCTATCCAGAGAAGTATGATTGACAGGGGTTAGGAAATTAACTGGTTGGGTGCCCTTTCCTCCAAAATCCTCCCTTCGCCAACCCCCCCGCCCCAGCACAGAAAAAGAGACTGCATTACTTCCGATCGAAGGAAGCTGTAGAGGCTACAACTTGGGAGGGAGGTGGAGAAGAATAATCTACTTCTGGAAGGTTGAAATGCAGCCGGTTTCCTCGGGTGGAGCGCGGAGGAAGTGTCACCCACAACCCTACGCGGCCACTCTTTCTGGTGCCCTTCTCTTCCACACCTACTGCCTGACTGCTCCCATTCACCAGGGGCGAGCGGGCAGGCAAGAGTTGAGCCGGAAAAGAAAGCTCTCCATTCAAACAGGAGAAAAGGGTGGGGTCCACAAAGAACGTACCTACCGGTGCATACAAAAGGAAGCCCCCAATACCTTCTCCAGCGAGCTCCCGTGGACCGAGCCAGCTTCCACGACAAGCAGACTCTTTAACTCCCCGCTTCCGCTGTGTCTTCGGCCAACCAGGGCACGGGACTTGTGAACGACTGACCAATAGCATCGCCCCGCCGTCCGCGAACCAGCCAATCGCACGGAGGCCGCTTAGGAAATTCGAATAGCAACTCCCCGCTCCACGTTCCGCGCAGAGGAACGAGGCTCCAAATTCAAATCAACGTAGCCTCACGCCGGCGGCAAGCGCGAGGGGCGGAGCCTGCCCGGCGTGAGCCGGGACGCGCGGTGTGATTGCCCCGCAGAGAGGAAGGCGCTCCAGTTCCGGGTCAGGCCCTTCTCCCGCCTCCCTCGGCCTCAGTCATGGCGAGTAGCAGCGGCGCCGGGGCGGCGGCGGCAGCCGCGGCGGCGAATCTGAATGCGGTGCGGGAGACCATGGACGGTGAGTGCCCGTTGCGCCCTCTTTACCTTGCCTGCCTTCCCAGAGCCGAGGCCCCCAGGCGGAGCGGAGCCTGGAGAGGACTCTAGGTCCTCCTCCTGCCCCAAACGGCATCGTCAAAGATCTTTGGAAGAGACCTGCCAGGGCTGTAGGACTAATGGCCTTATCCCTGGAGAGTTGTCTCCGCCACTGCGTAGTTTGTCGCGCGCGCTAGGCGTTCCGGCCCCCTGGTCAGCCCGTTGCGCACCGCGTCCCTCTCGCGCCCTACCCGGAATGCAGCGCCCCCTCTATCCCGCGTCCCCGGTCCGCGTGACCCGCCCGCTCTCCTGTGGTGACGGCCCCACGCGCCACGCCTACCCCACGCAGATACCCGTTCTCTTCTGCGCGCCGCGCCCCACCCAATTCCCGCGGGCGTGCCGTGCGGGGCGCTTCGGGGGTCCCCAAGGCTGAGATCCCGGCGTGGACCGGGGCCAGGTGTTTGGTCACCGCTATGCCTCGTGTCCTTGGCACTTCTGTAGGCGCCGTTAATATCCTGCGAATGAACAAGTTCAGAATTGTCCTAGTTTCCTCTTGAAGCGGGTGATGCCAGTGCTCAAGTGCTGTGAGTGTCGCCTGTTTTTGGTCCGGAGGCACCTGCGAGTGAAGCCTACACAAGCGTGGTAGAACACTAATAGTGTCTTGAGATTTCCCTCTCTCCATCCTTTAATGTCGGTTCTGCCACTTTGTGCCCCTGTGCTGAGCTTGGACTAGATACTTAAACATCATTGAGCCTGTTTGGCTTTTTTTTCTGTAAAATAAAATCATACCTCTTAGAGTTGTTGTGAATATTTAAATAAGACAACCAGGTAAAAGCATATCTTGGTTGATCCATTATTTTTCATATTATATCAGATGTCATTTCCCTCGTAGTCTTCTTACTTTGTCTCCTTTTTACTCATATCCACCTGTATATGAGTGTGTGATCCATGTTAAATGTTGTCATTTGCAGTGGGCCTAGACATTTTAACTTCACCCAAAGAATAAAAGGGCTTGCATAAATGAAAGGTGACAATGGAATCTTTATCCTACCCAATGCGATAGATATAAATAGTAATTAAATGGTTGCCCTAACAAAAGGTAGACATGTAACCAATTTGTAGGTATATGAGAATTTACTGTGAATAAAGGTAGCATCTCAACTGGGTGGGGAAAGCTTAGGTCGTTCAATAAATTTTACTGGGGCAACTGGCTCATTTCTGGGAGGAAAAGTTAGATCCTATTTTCCACCAAAACTCCAGGGAGATAAATACCTACTGGGGGGTATTGGGAAATAAACTTTCAAGTGCTGGAAGAGAATACTGGTGGATATAATCTTTGCATGGGGAATAACTTTCTAAGCTTAATGCCAAGGGGAAATGATGTAGGAAACAATAGATAATATGTTGACAGTTAAAATATTCTAAACTCTCTGCGAAGCAATCATAAAATTCAATGGAACCAGTGTACTTACAACCTGTAATGGAAGGGATTCTTGGAAAATCACATTGGAAACCAGGTTTCTCTGTTAGTACTTCTCATATTAAAGACAAAGACTTCTACCAAGTACAATAAAATGCAGCACTATACAAATGAAGTTTAAAAAATATAAGGTTTCATTTTTATTATTAGATTCAACAGACATGATTACACTGAAAAGTTTCTAAACACTTTTAAAACCTTAAATATGTACTTTTTTCTCTTTTTTTGCCTAATATATGTCAATTCAGCAAGTTAAATATGTATATTACTGACTGAGCAGTTCTATTTCTAGAAATTTATCCTAATGAAATAAAATATAGTATGTACAGATTCTTAATATTATTTAATGTGGGAAACATGAGAGCAGCCTAACACCTAACTGAGTAGTTAAACATAGTGTTTCCATCAAATGGAATGATACTCAACTAATTAAACTGCATTTTAAAAGAATACTAAAAAATAAGAAAGTGTTCAGAATTATCCTAAGTGTGGTGGATATGTGTTAGATAGATATTAAATGAGTGCTAGAATATATACCAAGATGGAAAAGGCAGTTATGTGACGTGAAGTTGTAAGTTTATATTTAAGTTTCTAAGATGAAGTAAAGGCAAGACAGTATTACATGCAGATTTCCAAAACCTGGGATGCTATGCTAATTCCCTGGTATTGTGCAGTGATATATAAATTAATAAAAGTACTATGTGCATGTTTTTCAATGCCATAAGCTTTTTTTTTTTAAGTTTTCTTTATATCTTTTTTCAGTTCTGCTTGAGATTTCAAGAATTTTGAATACTGGCTTAGATATGGAAACTCTGTCTATTTGTGTACGGCTTTGTGAACAAGGAATTAACCCAGAAGCTTTATCATCGGTTATTAAGGAGCTTCGCAAGGCTACTGAAGCACTAAAGGTTAGAGATTCCTATTAGTTCATTCTAAATAAAGATGCTTCTATTTAGAAAAATATTAATGAAGTTATGGGGAACATCCTGGTTAAAAAAGATTAAACTAACATCCAACACCACCAGAAGACAAGGAGCTAAATAGCGTATGTTCATATCACAAAAATTACTACTACCATGGACCATGTTGTATTTTCCCAGAAGTCTCTATTTTTAGAATTGTGCTGTGTCATGAGTAAAATTGTGCCTGTTCCAGAAAAGATACATTCAAGTCCTAACCTGTGGTCCCAAAGTCAATGAATATGACCTTATTTAGAAATAATGCCTTTTCAGATATAATCAAATGAAGATGAGGTCACCCTGGATTAGGGTAGATCCTAACCCAATAATTGATGGCCTTATAGAACAAGAGAAATTTGGACACAAATAGCCAAAGAAAGTTAAGAATTTTCTGTGGCCACAAGAAGCTAGAAAGAGGCAAGGAAGAATACACCCCTAGAGCTGTCAGAGAGCATGACCCAGCTAACACCTTCACTAGGGACTTCTGGCCTTCACATTGTAAATATATTTTTATTGTTTTAACCCACCTAATATGTGGTACTTTGTTGCAGTCCCAGAAATCTAATGTAGATTTTGGTACTGGGAAATGGGGTGTTGCAGTAGCAAAAAAAAAAATGAGGATGTGGCTTTGGAATTAGGTATTGAATAGAGACTGGAAAGTTTTAAGGTGCTTGTTAGAAAAAGACTAGATTTCCTTGAAGAGGAACTGTTGGTAGAATGGTGAATGTTAAAGGCAATTCTGGTGAGCGCTCAGGAAGAAGAGAACTGTAGAGAAAGCTTCAGGTTGTTTTTGAGACTACCATTAGGATTAGAATGTTGCTAGAATATAAATGTTAAAAGCACTTTTAGTGAAGACCTAGATGGAAATGAGAAACATTTATTGGACACTAAAAGAAAGGGGATCTTTGTTAGAAAGTGACTAATTGGGCTGGGCAAGGTGGTTTATGCCTGTAATCCCAGTACTATGGGAGGCCAAGTTGGGTGGAACATCTGATGTTAGATGTTTGAGACCAGCCTGACCAACATGGAGAAACCTCCTCTCTACTAAAAATAGAAAATTAGCCAGGCATTGTGGTACATGCCTTAATCCCAGCTACTTGGGTGGCTGTGGCAAGAGAATCATTTGATCCTAGGAGGCAGAGGTTGCAGTGAGCTGAGATTTCGACACTGCATTCCAGCCTGGGCAACAAGAGTAAAATACCATCTCAAGAAAAACAAAAAAGAAAGTGACAGACTGTGGCTGAATTATGTTCTACTGTTGGAAGGAAAATAGAATATGTAAGCAACGAACTTGGATATTTTGTTGAGGAAATTTCCAAGCAAATTGTGGAAGGTACAGCCTGATTTCTCCTTACTGCTTAATAAAGTGAGAGGAATGAGCAAATTGAGGAAGGACCTGTTAAGAAAAAAGGAACTAGCATTTGAGAATTTAGAAAATTCTCAGCCTCTCTGAATACCATGTTCTGGAGACAGGGCTAAGAGTGTGGCTAGACTTTTGTGAAGAGATTAGGTATGTGATAGAGCCAGTCAACCATCTTAACACAAACACTGCCAGCTTGGACAGGATGAAGTGAAAGAAGGCTGTCAGATGACTGGGATTGTTCAGACAGTAAGCTGGCTGATGGAGCTGCTCAGCTGTGAGCCCATGTGTTATCCTTCAGGAAAAGGAAAAAGTGACTCCAAGAGTACCTCAGAGATGGGGGCGGGGGCGGGGGCGGGGGCGGGGGCGGCTACTGCCACCAGGCTTCCAGAGGGCCATGTTTTTTCAAATTCAAATTAACTGCCTTTCTACCTTTTAATTGTTCAGATTGACAACTGAAAACATACCCTGTTCTCTCTTGCACAAACTCTGATTTAAATGCTTGTGATTATATTTCCCTTTTTATATAGCACTAACAAACCTTGAATACTAAAACTTTAAGTTAGTTCATCTTAAAACTTGTCCAAAACATGGGCTTACAGAGACAGTCAGTGGGGGGAAAAAACAAACAAAATCTTCTAATACCTTACACAAAGTGACTTCTCTTTTTTCTTGACTTTGAGAAAGCAACTAATGATTTACATACCTTTCAGATTATTTTCAAATGAGTTCTTCATGTTTGCTTTTGTGCTTTTTAAAATCTTTTGATTATTGAATCTAACAAAAAAGGGTAAACCACATTTATAGAGGCAAAATGTATCATAAAGGGAATATCCATGCAACTATCATTGCCAGCACCAGAGAATCCCCCTTGTGCCCCCTCTTCAATCAGTAACCTCTCCCTCTTGCCCTCCTCTCCAGTAACTACTCTCCTCACTTTTATGGTAAACTCTGTGTTAGTCTATTCTTGAACTGATATAAAGAAATACTTGCTGGGTATGGTGG